GTACTGAATAGTTGGTTGAAAAAAAAAGAAAACTGCAGATAAAAACACATGTATATATTGGAAAGCATTAAGTAGTGTAATTACAGGACTCACTAGAGGGTTCTGCCCATAATTTAACTAAATATGTACCAGGTTATGAGCTGTCAGAGCGTTGTGGTGTGACATTGGCCAGACACCAGGCACTTAGAAGAGCCGTTCACTCGCTCACTCTTGTTACAGTTGGGCAGAGGAGAGGGAAAGGAAATTAATGGAGGGTTCATGAGTTGAGATAAGAATTGGGGGAAAACACTCAAAGGGCAAAATAGGTTCAAATCTAAAGATGTAAGGTAAATTTGTTATGAACAGAGTCAGAGAAGGATAACGAGAACTAAAATAAGCCTTCTAAATATCTTTCTTCCCACCCCAGCCCCTCCCTTTTTCCCCCTGACAGTGTAGGGAGACCGGGAGAGGGGATTTTGGTTAGTTCATCACCCAAGATCTTTTCCTATTTGCTCAGAGAGGGAAGTCTTTTCTGTGCTATGCCATGGGGTCCCTCCCATGGGAGATGGCTCTCCATGAACTCCTCCAGCCTGGCTCCAATCTTACAAGCAACAGTCCTGACAAAACTGCTGCAACAGGAGTCCCTCCCATGGGCAAAATCTTTCTGAAATTGCTGTGGTGTGGGTCGCTCATCTGCAGGGTGCAGTCCTTTGAGGATAGGCTGTTCTAGTTTGGAAGTTCCACATGGTGGAAGCTTGTAACCATTTCTCACAGAAGCTGTTTCTCTGGCCCTCCCTCACTACCAGAAAACCAGGCCATGCCATGTCAGGGCCTCTAGCTTGTCGGAGTGACCCCGAGAAATGTTAGAAAGTCTCTTTTCCCAGCCCCGTGCTTAAAGGAGTCAGAGCTCTTCATTTCTCAGTCTCAATGTTGTTTATTGTATCTTATCTATAAAATTCTTTCTCCTGTCCTGCCGAGGTCAGCTCAGCAAGACAGTCAGAGGCATTCTCCCTGCCCCCAGGGCAGTGTTATGTCTTTATACTAAAAACTATGTATACAATGTTTACAATTACTTTCCAGTACCTATCACCTATGTTAGACAGTGAGCTTCTACTCTAAACCAATCTAAAAGTGCAAACATCAGCAGAAGATTGAGGCCAAGAAGAAGAAGGAAAAAGGCAGGACACTCCCAGATCCCTCCATCTTTCCCCCCTGAATCCCATTCTAAAAACTCCAAAATCTGCTTTTTCACCTTGTGATAAATTCACTATCATTCTACTTAATTTGTCATGGCTTGCAGATCTTCATGTAAGGTCGGTAACTTGCTCCACGGGTCATAATCAAAACCACAGGCATTTTGGGCTCTGTGCCAAGGTCTCTGAGACCCCTGGCAGGGGTCTTGGCTGCTCAGGACAGCTAGAGAGATGTCGTGGGTCCTGACAATGCCAAATCAACACACAGAGTAACAAAAATACTGTAAGCAAGTCCTTAAATATTTTCGTTGTTGGTCACCTGACATTGGAGAGTGGCGGATGAACTCGCTAATGGGCAAATGCAGCCAGATCCATATGTATTACAGAAATACCACTTTTGGACCATAATTGTATATTCTGTCTTCAGTAGCAATTTGAAGTGTGAAACACTTGTCTTGGCTACTGAAGAGGAAATATTTTGAAATTTCATCTTGATAGAGGGCTCACTGTTCTGCCTCACTATTGTTGTGCCGTCTTTACATGTAAGCTGGGCTCACAGAATCACAGAATTAAGGTTAGAAAGGACCTTTGAGATCAAGTCCAACCTATGACCTAACATCAACATCGCCTTATCTGCTAGACATGGCTCTAAGTGCCCCATCCAGTCTTTTCTTAAGCACCTCCAGGGATAGTGACTTCACCACCTCCTTGGGTAGCCGATTTCAATGCCCAGTCACTCTTTCTGTGAAGAACTTGTTCTTAATATCCTCCTAAACGTCCGAAACCTAAACATTCTCTGATGCAGCTTAAGACTCTCAGTTGTTTCCTGGGAGAAGAGACCGACCCCCACTTGGCTACAACTTCCTTTGAGGCAGTTGTAGAGACTGAAAAGATCTCTCCTGACACTCCTTTTCTCCAGGCTAAGCAACTCCTCAGCCATTCCTCATGGGACCTGTGTTCCAGACCCTTCACCAGCCTTGTTGCCCTTCTCTGAACATGCTCCAGCATCTCAACATCCTTCCTAAATTGAGGCGCCCAGACCTGATCACAGTACTCGGTGTGGCCTCACCAGTGCTGAATCCAGGGGAAGAATTACTTCCCTGGTCCTGCTGGCCACCCTGTTAGCGGTACAGGGCAGGATGCCATTGGCCTTCTTGGCCATGTGGGCACACCGCTGGATCGCGTTCAGTCTGCCATCAGTCAGTACTCCAGCTCCCTTTCTGCCTGGGCACTGTCCAGTCTCTCTGTCCTCAGCCTGTAGTGCTGCAGGGGGTTGTTGTGGCCAAAGTGCAGGACCTGACACTTGTCTTGTTAAACTTCATATCGTTGGATTTGTCCCATCAATCCAGCTTGTCCAGGTTGCTCTGCAGAGCTCTCCTATCCCCCAGCAGATTGAGATTCACACCCAACTTGGTGTCATCTGCAAATCTGCTAATGGTAGACTCGATCCATTCATTCAGATCATCAGTAAAGATCTTTATCTTAAAAGTAAAGAGTTTTATAATTAATATTTTTTGAAAGAATGAACTTGTAAATTTGTGAATTTATGAATTTATGTCTGAGCCTTCTGAACCTGGCTACACTAACATGGTCATCGACTTCCAGGGATTACTAAAAATCTAACAATTCATAGATTCTGAACAAGCTGACAGACCGTCTTTTTTGGAGGGGATGAACTTGTTAGAGATCAAATAGGAATCCTTTTTAATGCAAACTTTGGTGTACTAAATAATGCAATTAGGATTAAGCAAAGTAATGCTATGGTGAAATGTTGCAACTTAATATTTTGAGCACTAGCAGGCTATTATTGTGAAGATTTAATAATATTTAATAATTTAATAAGATTTAATAATTTAATAAGATTTAATAATTTAAATTATCCGTGGTTCCTGAAGTTCTTGATGGTCATGTTGTTAAAAGTGATTTAATTAAGCTGAAGATAATATATGTTACATGTTAATAATGTTAATAATCTTTTGGTTAATAATATTTGCCTAATCCATTTATCAGTGCTTTGCAAACTGTCTTTCATTTTCTTAACTGGTCCTCTCCAAACATGCAAAGTAATTTTTATCTTTAAAAATTCGATAATTTTATTTGTGAATTTGCATGCTTCTAATTCATGAGGCCATCAGGCTTGCTTGTAGTATTGCTGCTGTATGTTTGTGCACTTTTGTATACACAGTATATGCCTTTTCTTTTATTGGCATATGCCCTTTCAAGAGGAGCAAGAATCTATGCGGCCATCAACAGTTGATGAAGATTTTCTGGAATCATTATCACTTGTCAATTTTGTTAATTTCCTTATTTTTCTCTTGTCTGAAAGCTCAGAGGAGGAAAAAAATGTAGGTGGGTTTTACACACCTGTATACATATATATATATATACATACCTATATACATACATACACATATACAAATATATGTACATACACACACACATTTATATATATAAATGAATGCATGAGGAGCTTTTGCACAGCTTGCTCTTAAGAATTATACTTCTGACAGGCTGAGAGAGGAGGACAGCTAACTCAGTGTGTTGTTGCTACCATGGTGAATGCATAGGGCAAGTGTGTTGAGGCTCCGGGGAAATGAAGATTGAGAGCCTGAGGAATGTGACCATTTTTTTATTAGCAGCTCATCTTTGCAGTAACTTAAAAGTGAGAAACTCCAGCTTTGTTGGCAAATAGTTAATGGCAAATCTGAGGCTATTTATTGTATATGGCTCTCACAGAATATTTACCATTTCTTACGTTTTGTGAACATAAATTCAAAGTCATGAAGGGTTTGGCGAACGCAAATTCAAAGTCATGTAGCCTTTCAGATCTTACCTGTGAAAATATTTCTCTCTCTCAATTTGAATTTATGTAATTAATCTGCTACAGCACTGGAATAAATGTAATTGTCACCAAAAAAAAAGTAATTTAAACTCCTAACTTATATTAGTATTTGATTCCTAAAAGTACTGTTTGGTAACTTGATAGAGGGGTTTGTCTCATTATTTCAGAACATTTTTGTTTTATTTAGTTTGGTTTAGTCAGCAGTCAGTACAATTGTGAAATCTCAAGCTGTAAGGAAATTGAACCTTGAACCTAGGTATGTGAGTATAATCATAAGAGGAATATTTTTGTCTCTCAGTTACAGCATCCTAAATGCATTACATTACATTAAATGTATATATCCAATTTGAATTCAAATTCCAGTCTCTTGGCTTCGTGTTTTCACCTCTAGGAATTTATATCTCTTCTTAGATACTGACTTGATAAAATGGTTATATTCAACTTATGGTATTTTTATGAAATAGTCTGCTAGTAGTTTAAAAACATTGTAAGGAATTTTTAAAAATATAAACAGCATTCTAGTGTATAAAAGCATCAGATGATAAATAGTCAAAAGCAAGCATTTTAGATTATATATAACTGAAATACTGATAGAATTTTTAGAATAGTGAGTTGTTAATGAATGAATAACTGAGAGCAAATAGGGCTCAGTGATATATGAACACAACTCATCCACAGAAGTTAAAAAAAATTACAATAGCAACACCTGAAACATAACTTTTTATCTTGGACTAAACTAGGATCTTGTAAATAGTGTGCTTCTTTTGTTCTGAAGAAGTTTTGATCAAAATTGTATTTTGGCTGTTCTGAAATGATCTAGTGCATATTTTCTAGTTACATCCTCCCTTTATTGATATCTGTTGTCTCATAAACTGCTGTATTGTTTTGTTATGTATTTAATAGCATGGAAAAATGGAGTAAAATTTTGCGATGTTCTTTATTGCTTGATTTATTTTCATTTTCCTCCTTTTTGCATTGAATAACAGCTGTTAGCCGGGATGATAGCAGAACCTGCTTTTCTCTCTGAGTATACTATCTTTGCTTTGGATCCCACCAAACAACCTAAGCCACAGAGTGATGGTGTGGTGAGTCCTCCCCACCCCTGTTAGTGATGCCTTTAGCAGGTGGAGGAGAGTAATGTACTAGAAGGCAAACTTACTTGCTTTCGGCTTGTTCTCACAAACACCTCTGTCTTAACTATCTTGTTGCTAACCCTGCACTAAATTTCACAGAGGTAGTAGGTGATAGCTCCTGGCTGGTATGCTGGTATGATATGAATTTATTGTAACATTAAAAAATTAACATATTTTTTCTTATACAGGCAACAATATGCAAATTTAAATAACTGTTGCACAAGTTTGTATGTGTGTTGCATAGAAATTTCCTCTTCATATTTATGTATGTCTGTATATATTTCAAGATAAATGGATAGAATTAACATTGGGATTGGTTATGTGTAATATTTGCTGCTTGCGGTGAAATATAGCATGTCATTTGCTTCTAATGGTAGCAGGAAATAATTATTTCACACAGGCACATAAATTAATCTACATCTAGTTGATAACCTGACAGTTATTATTGTGAGGATGAATAGTCTTTTTTTAATAGTTAGGTTTTACTTTAAATATATGTTTCTTTGCCTGGAAATGTTGTCTTCAGTATATATAAGTAGAGAAGCTCAATGAGAGGTGGCAAGCAGCGAAGAAAAGGAAGCAGGCATGGGGAGGAAGTCAGACTTCTGCTTTCTGATATAGGCACATAGAAGCTGTATTCTTATTGGCACAGGACAGGAATGGCATTTTTCACATGCTCTAGAGGCATGGCATTCCCAAGTCCATAAGTGATTTAAAGCACACTAATTTTTAGCATCCCAGCTCATCGTTATACTTCATGATTACTTTGTAAGTACTCTTTTCCTGCTCATGGTTTCAGTCACTGAAAGCTGTAACAGGATCAAAATTTAATAACCAGGACATAGCACAACACACTTGTTGGACTTGTCTCTCTCTCAAGCTAAACAAGATTGGACAGAAACAGTGATTAAAATGGTGGTCCTAGGAAAGTGTATTCTGGCCATATTCCAGGTCCAGCAATCGTTCCTTAAGGATTCACTTCAAATTTAAGTAAGCTTTGTTAGTTTTCACTATACAACAGAATTATTGCAAAAAAATTAATTTCACATAACTGTTTGTTTGAGTGCTCCAATGTTGTCTTTATATGACCTTTTGGTATGTACTTTAGTGGCATATTTAGTGGCTCACATATTTATAGGCAAGACTGCAGTAATGAAACAGTTATTGTTAATGTGTTACCAATGTGTACTAACATGTTACCTGTAAAACTCATTTTGTTCTCTGAACTTCTTGAAAATTCTAGGGCAGTACTCACAGTAAGATCTGGGAGAGGGAGAAAATGATGGGAAAATATAAAGAGAATATGATGACTGATTAAAAAATATATTAAAGAAACACCCACATTACATATGTTTACAAAAACTAGGTACGGTAAAAATACAGGAGAGGAAAGTTTCACTGACACACACAAATGCATATTCATTCTGCTAAAACAAAACAGTATTTTAGTTGTATATGTGATCTGAGAGTGAACAGCATAAAGAAGTGACTGTAACTGTGGATTTTTTTGGCATAGATGAAGTTAATATCAACTCTTTACTAGCTAAGCTACAAAGGTTTTGTGCATGAAGAAATAGTTAAAAATATTCTTGGACACAGTGGGTTTTTTAAAGGAAAAATAAAAGGAAAATGAGGGAAGAAAGCATTAAGCTCTCCTTTCTTTCTCCCTTCATAATTACTCAGTTTTTGAATACTTGAGAAAGTATTACTATTAAGAGCAGTAAAATGTTAAAATGTTTCTAAATAAAAACATTTAAGCTTTCACTTCTGAGGCTTGGTAATCTATTTATGCCTTTGAGAAAAAAATATCATTTTGCATTGCAGAAATAGGGAAGTAAGGTGATGAAAAACGTTAGTGGAACACCCTAATGCGCTCCAGTTGAAACTGAGTTCTGATTTATACATCTTCATAATGAAAAACAACGGTTTTGTTAGATATTGCAAGTATAGCTGTCTTTGGATAGAGATATGGATGTTATGTTCTATGAGTTTGTGGAGGAAAAACTTCCACTGGTCTCCAGAAACTCTGATGTAACTGCTGGTTTTAAGACTTTCAAAATGGCTGCTTGTGCTCTGCGAGTATAATTATGCTGAAAGCTCTCTTCAGGCTTATGAAAGGCTCGGGCTTTTAAGCTTTGCAAAGCCTCTTGGATCTATATTTATATATAGCAACTTCCATTCATGCTTACCATTCAGTATGCACATACCCAAATACAATCCTTTGCCCTAGAGCACAGTGATAGAGACTTTCAGCAGTCAGATACCTATGGTGGTCCATTTTTTATATGAAAGATTACTAGTGTATCCCTTTTATTATTTATGCCAATAGAAAGTTTAACCCCAAATCTTTTGTTCCCACAGATTGTATAAAAGATGCCTGCATAGTGAGTAGGAAAGTTTTAAAAGTGTCAGCACTAGTTTAGCTTTGAAATTACATTGTTAAGGATCTTTACAGGTCCTTAAATGGTAGCTTTTTAAAGTATCTTCACAGAAAGAAGCAGCATCCATGGGTTTTATATTCATAAAAATCTTATTAAATTTAATAAATCTACTTAATCTTGTGTTTTAAAATAGATGTTAAATATTAAATTGTACTTACAAATTACATGCACAAACCCTCCAGACTTTCCTTTAACTCTTCTTCATATGTATCAGAATACCTGATTTTTGAAAGAAGTGTATTTAGTTGGTAAGTCACAGAATCACAGAATTAAGTAGGTTGGAAAAGACCTCTGAGATCATTGCGTCCAACCTATGACCTAACACCACCTTGCCAGCTAGACATGCCACTAAGTGCCACATCCAATCTTTTCTTAACTATCTCAGAGATGGTAACACCACCACCTCCCTGAGCAGCTCATTCCAATGCCCAATCACTCTTTTTGTGATGTCTTGGTAAAGTGTTTGTCTTCCTCTGTTGTCAGTCTTATAGTAGCATAGCAGATGCTTTGTAAATTATGAAGCAGAGGATAATTTTTTATTTGAATTATCTTATTATTAACTCTTGTTGTTAGGAGAAAAAACAAGAACAGGTAGTGGAGCCAAGAACACAGTGTGGAAGTGCTTCAGTTTAAAACCTATAAAAACTGTTAATCCACTAAGAAAAATCCACCGCCACAGGACAATGTTCTGAAGCACAATGCAGATTTTGTTCAAGCTAGGTGAAGCACAGTTTCCAAATCCAGTCTTCTTGTATGACTTGTTTTATTTTGTCTACATATGGGTAACTGCTCAGTTCTCTGGTTTCCTTAACTATCTGGATTTCTCTTTGTTCTGTGTTATTTCTGTACTACCTCAAATCTGCTCCATGTCAGACCTTTTTAAAGCTCTTTTATCATTCCTCTGCCACATAAATGTTTAGGTGTGCTTATTGGCATATCCAGAGTAGAAGCTGTGAGTGTGATCATGTAGGAGATATATGTACAAGGGTGATTGTGATTGAGATTTCAGTTCTACATACACCTTACATTTTTGCAGCTTGCATGTAACTGTCAGGGTATAGCTTGGTTAAAAGTTAAGAGTTACACTGCTCTTAGGTGAATTTACCCATATTTTGTTTGATATGCCTCAGTGTTTCACTTCTTTTGAAAAAATCCTTGTCCAAGATGGTTTCTAGCATATTCTGCTAATTCAGTTGGACTGGATTTATACAGCAAAAAACTGTCTGGATGTGTGTAAGTTAGAAACATAGAATATCCTGAGTTGCAAGGGAGCCACAAGATTGACCCAAGTCCTACTCCTGTCCCTGCACAGTACAGCCCGAAGAATCACACCATGTTCCTAAGAGTGTTGTCCAATAACTTCTTGAACTCAGACAGGCTTGGTGGTATGACCACTTACCTGGGGACCCTGTTCCAGGGCCCAACCACCCTCTGGGTAAAGAACCTTATTCTAATATCCAACATACTCCTCCCTGACAGAGCTTCATGCCATTCCCTCGAGTCCTGTTGCTGGTCACCACAGCTCCTGCCCCTCCACATCCCCTCATGAAGAAATTGTAAACTGGTTTGAGGTCTCCTCCATGATGAGCAAGCCAAGTGACCTCAGCTTCTCCTTGTATGGCTTTTCCTCAAGGCCCTTAATCATCTTTGTAGCCCATCTTTGGATACTCTCTAATAGCTTTGTATCTTTCTTATGTTGTGGCACCCAAAACTGTGCACAGTGCAGAGCAGAGTGGGACAATCCCCTCCCTTGCCCAGCTGGTAATGCAGTGCCTGATGTACCCAGGACACGCTTGGCTCTCCTGGCTGCTAGGGCACTGCTGGCTCATATCCAATTTTCCATTGACCAGGACCCTCAGGTCCCTTTCCGTGGTGCTGCTCTCCAGTGTCTTGTTTTCCCCAGTCTGTCCATACATCCAAGGTTGTCCCATCCCAGGTGCAGAATTTGGCATTTGTCTTCATTGAACTTCATATGGTTGCTGATTACTGAGCCCTCTAATTTGCTGAGGCCCCCTCTTCCAGGGCCTCTGTGTCTTCAAGGCAGTCAACAGCTCCTCCCAATTTAATATCATTGTCAAACTTAGTGTACCTTCAAGTCCCGCATTGAAGTAATTTATGAAGATGTTGAAGAGCACAGAGCTGAGGATGGAGCCCTGTGGAACCCCACTAGTGACATCTCACCAGTCTGATGTCACCCCATTCACTCTAAAGCTTTAAGCCCAACCCATGAGCCAATTGCTCATGCACTGCATGATGTGTTTATCCAGCTGTGTGCTGATTATTTTGTCCAGGAAGGTCCTGTGAGAGACAGTATCAAAGGCTTTAGTGAAATCTAAAAAGGTTACAACCAGTGGCTTCCCTTGCTCATCTCAGTGGGTAACCTTGTAATGAAAGGAAATCACATTTGGCAGGCAAGAGTGTCCCCTTATGAACCCATTACTGATTGTGACCAAGGATTGCTCTGTCTTGAAGTTGTTTTTCAATAATTCCCAGAAAAATCTGCATAATTTTACCAGTCAATGAAATTAGTCTAAGAGACCTGTAGTTTCCAGGGTCGTCCTTCCTGAAAATTAGGACTGGGTTAGCAAACACCTGAACACAGGACACAGGAAAGGCAGGATAGACAGGCTAGGAACAGTAATGTCTAAACTCTGTAAAAAACCCCAAACCAATAAAAAACTCCCAAAACACAAACCAGACAAACCAACCAACTCCAGACTACTGTTTTTTGTTGTATTGGTTTTGTTGTTTTGGATGAAGTTTTTTAATGTGTGTGTTTTTTCCTTTCTTTGGGAATGCAAAAGTTTTGTTAAAGATATATTTTCTGAAACTGTAATTTTCTTTCCATGTTCGCTGGAGTTATAAACAGTTTGTTACCAGCACTTCTTTTCCAGGTAGTTTCTGCCCCCACAATGCGCTGAAACAGAGAGAGATGGTGTTACAGCCAACTCTTACTCATATTGGCTGTAAATACTAGTAATTAATTAGACTTTTCCTGCTATAATTTTGTCTTTTTGTTGTGTCTTTGATTTGTCCATAAACGTTATATAAATAATCATTATGACTTACTTAACTGGAGATGTCAATATTTGCAGATGTTTCATACTAATCCATGCACACATAGCTGCTTTGTAGTTCTGCATATTGCAGCAATCTGTTTTGAATTTAACAAGCTAGCCTGTTTGCATGAAGACATCTTAATAAGCTTTCTAAAGAAGGTACTAAAAACAGAGGCAAAGAAAAAAGCACAGATGCTGTTTCTAGGAACCACAGAATTACAGCCCTTGTACTCTGTTTCTTCTAACAGTTGTTTTTACTTCCTGTAGAACTTGAATAAACAACCACTTCCTGGGTCCACAGAAAACAATGGAAGTGAATCTATCTCTCCACAGGTATGTGGAGGGCATGGGGGGTTTGTTTCCTCCTTCACTGCTGCGCTGTCTTTGTGTTACATTGGTTTAAGTGCCCAGTATTTCTCTTCATGCTGAAGTAAGGCTAAGTAGTTGCCTGTGAGGATGATCAGATATTTTGTTTGTTTGTAATACTATTTGCTGGTACTAAGTATTGTCACTGATATGTGGAGCTTTTCTTTTTGTAAGGACTGGTTAGCAGACTGCCAGCATTGAGATGTATCTTGTTGCACAGCAGTAAACTCGCTTTCAAAAGTAGGGGGCCTATTGCATGCTTGGAAAGCTTAAGAAAAGAACTGGAAGGCTGAAAATGTTGTCACTAGTGGGAAGGATGCAGATAATTTTTAAATATGTCTCAGGGAAACATTTAGCTTACTGAAGTGAGATTAGCAGTGGCTCCTGGCATGTGTCTCCCAACATTTTGATTGTAGGGGCAACATCTTGTGGTAATGCTTTCACATCACTTCTGTGGCACCAGCAGTAAAGGTTACCACAGCACAGGATCGTCTGGTATAGAGTGAAGAAGTACTATAGCTGCATAAATCAATAATTATTTTTTTATGTAATAATAGTGAAGTCGTTTAAAATAAAAATAAGAAAAGGACTGTTCAAGATGGTTTGCTAGGACTAACTATCATACAACGATCTCTACCATTAATTTGTTCCCTTAGTCATAGGAAAGTATCTATGTCTTTGAGATAAATCAAGTTCTGTGTAATACATTAAGAAGTGAGTGAGTTATATTTTTCATGTTTGAGACAATAGACATTTATATTAGTTACACATTCCTCAATTTTAGAGGGATTATACAGAAATACATTTTCCTAGAAGTTTAAATCAGAGCTGTAGTTTATTAGATTTAGTTGCTGTCTGAAATGGTGCACATCTGGTAGTTGCATGCTTGATTTTTCTGCACAAGTAGATGATTCTTTTAAGGGAGTAGCTGCTATTTGGTGTCATGCATGTGTTAGACAACAGTAGTTTCTTTGCACAGGTCAAGTCTCTTTCCTGGACTTCAGTGTGTCTGTCTGCCTAAAAGCAGTGCAGAAATAATTACTTTCTTTCAATTTTTGCAGCAAAGTGACAGTCAGTCTTTTGCCCAGAGGCTTCAGCTTCGAGTTCCCTCCATGGAGTCTTTGTTTCGAAGCCCGGTAAAAGAGACCCTATTTCGCTCTTCCTCTAAAGAGTCCCTAGTCCGAAGTTCTTCAAGAGACTCACTGAATCGACTGGACTTGGAAGCTCTCAGTCCTACCTTTGATTCACCTTCTGACATTGAAAGTGAAACTGAAGAGCCTCTGGGAAATATGGACACCTTCAGCAAAGAGCAGTTGCTGCAGCGTCTGCGTAGAATGGAGCGCAGTTTAGGCAACTATAGGGGAAAATACTCAGAGGTAGGCAATGTGACTGGTTTAGCTGTGCAGAAAGGGGAAAGAGGTTAGGCTAACAGATACTGCAGCAGTGGACAATCTTTTTCTTTTCCTATTTGGAGCAAATGTTTAAACTTACAACTAACATGGAAGTTAACTTATTCTAAATCTAGTTATTTTTGACCTAAAAAGGTTAAATGTTCTTCTGGTAATAAAACATGGAAATCTTTTTCTTCTCTTGTTTGTAAATAATTTCCTGATGCCTGCAGTAGAGGCTAATTAATGGTTACTCACACAGAGCAGGCCTATTAAGATTTCAGACTGAAAGCATCTAGCAGAGGGTGAAGTTCACTACAGAGATGAGCATGACTTGTACTCCCATGACAGCAAATTTATTTTTTTTCCCAACTTGTTCTTGAAATGCATAGTGTATATTCTGGCCATGTGCAGTAGGCAAGCATTTTGTTTTCAAGAAAGAAGTTCTATTCTTCATATTTTCTAGGTATTCCCTGAGAGGAATTAATTCAAACATCTTATTTTTTGGGTATTTTTGTAAAAACCAATTATATAAGTAATTTCCCTACTCATTTTCCAAATTACTGGGGAAGGTAAAGCCGTTGAATAGAAGGTGGTGTTTTGGGATTGGGTTTTTTAATTAGTTTTAGGGTTTTGTTTGGGTTTTTAAATTTTTTTTTAAAGTGTGTGTTGTATTTAAAACTGGATGTTTGTACTGTTTTTTACAGTTCTTTTAATATTTGCTGCCCTTAAATACAAGAATTCCTGTGCAGACTTTTATCAAAATCCCTGGAATCGAAAATATGTATACAGTGACTACAGTATTCAGCATATGCCTGAAAGAGCAGTTTTCATAGCAATTTTTCCTTCACTTCCAGCTAGTGTAATAAGTATTTTTTTGAAGTTTGTGTAAATAGTAGTTGCTAAAATGAAAGTTCTTCACTTTGTGGGTTTGTTTCAATGCTTTTTTTGGTCATTTGGGATTATTTTTATTAGTGTAATCTGTCCACCAATCCTAACTTTCTCTGTCAGAAAGGCTTGGGGTTTTTTCCTGGTTCTGTGAGTTTCTTCAGTTCAGTTGAAAATAATTGTTTTGCTGGAGTTTGGAAGAAACTTGTTGCAATATATAATGAGTAATGAAGGCAGAAATATTTTTTCCCTCTTAAAGTAGGATGCATAGTTAGCATCTCAAAAATACGGTAAAGGAAAACACCCATAGCAGTTTAGATTTTCTTATAAGGGCAAAATAAATATAACTTGAAAATTAAAAGTAATTTTGAATTCTGAAAATGTTTAGTTTGTTTTAAATTAGAAGTTGAAAATATATTTTGACTTTCTGGTTTCAGTGTTCTAGATTTGTTTTTCTTAAATTTTTCATCAATTTGAAAACAAAGTTTTCTAATTTCAAATGCCATTATGTTACTTCACTGTAATGCTACTTGGCAGTCGTAATCAAATATTTAAATAAACTGAGGTGTACCGTTCCTCCTTTTATCAGTTTACAGTGAGAAATGAAATACTGTCTACTTTCAGTCTGTCTTTGCTGGATATATGCAAGGCATATGGGATGAGAACATTACACCTTTTTTGTTACATTTAGAAATGTATTTTTTAATGCACACTTTTTTGTAAAATCATTTTTGCTTAATCTCCCTGGGACATGTACTCTTACGAGTGGTCACCCCGTGGGGTAGCTGTCTGAGATGTAACTTTCTGATACTGTTGGGTTTGACCCCCTGTGTTGAAGGGTGGTATGGGGTATGTTGTCTCAGGGAAGGGAAAACTGTGTATGAATGCTGAGTAACATCATTGTTTTGTCATGCAGGCTTGTATTTTTTAACACATTGGAGATATTTCATAGATAGATAAAGAAAACATTAAGAAAATTTAAGTACATTTATATCAAAGAAAGTTCTCAAGTGGAGCAAAGAGTTTGAAAATGCAGCTAGTGATACAACTAAGGAAATTATTTTGATGGTTATATGCAGATGTATTATCATCTTTATATCCGATTTGTTTATTTTAGCTAGTGTCTGCTTATCAAGTTACCCAGCGGGAAAAGAAGAAGCTGCAGGTAAGCATTACTTTTCATGGTCTCATACCTGCATGCTTCTTTCAATCTTAAAATGTGTAGTTACAATACAGATTTAATTTTCAGTGTGTTGTGAGTATGTAACAGATGATGATTTCTTAGCTGGGATTTCTGAGGAAACCAGTAATTTTTCATAATAACTGTGAAGTGTTGTAATCCAGCCCTTTTTGTTGCATCAGCTGACTTCAGGTGATGGATTAATAGATTGCCAACGCACAGTTGGCAGTTTATGGCAATACTTGCATATCAAGTGTGACTTGAAAGAGAAACAAATAATTACATTTGTGAGATTTTTGGATTTATTTATCCATTTAAAAATTACGTTTAATACACCTGATCTTTATTCTTCCTTTTTTCTTAAGAGCATTCTGAGTCAAAGCCAGGATAAAGCACTTCGCAGAATTGGAGAACTGAGAGAGGTAATTTCCTTTATTGATTGCATGTTTGCATTATATCACACCTACATAGGATCTTTTTCTGCCTAGCTTTTGACTTTTTTGTTCACAAAATATTTTCTATTACAGACCAGGATATTTTACAGCTTTTTGTTGTTGTTGTTTATGTGGGGTTACTCCTCCGGCTTGCTTCCCATTCAGCAGCTTATTGCTATCCTCTTAAGACAGAGCAGTGCATCACCAACCAAACTACTTCTCTTGTTCATTGTGAAATAGGTACAAGTGTGTGTGGTTCTTGCAGTATTGTTGGGCCCAGCCTGTGCAATTTCTTGCTCTTCTATTAATGACAAATACTAATTCAGGAAACACAAGTAATAGGCACATTTTTGTAAGGATTTCAATGACTATCAAAAAAAAGAGGATAATAAAAAAAATATTCTTTATCTCAGTTGTAATACTTACATTGTTTTATGGATTTTAGTATAGTTTGGTTTCAATCATAAAATCAAGTAGGTTGTGTTATGATTTGCCTCCTTAAGTTATAGTGAAATTCAAAGGAGAAGCTCTAGTGTGTTTGGTATTGATAGTAAACACATTGGACTTAAAAAACATGTATAGATGATTGGGCAGAATAGATTAGAAGGGCAAAATCAAAAACGCCATAAAAAGGGCAAAATCAAAAACCCTGATGAAGCACAATGTGAAGCTGAAGCTATTTTATTGTAAACACATTGGACTTAAAAAACATGTATAGATGATTGGGCAGAATAGATTAAAAGGGCAAAATCAAAAACGCCATAAAAAGGGCAAAATCAAAAACCCTGATGAAGCACAATGTGAAGCTGAAGCTATTTTATTGCCTCAGGAGCTAGTGCAACACCAGATTTGGAGATGGGTGTGCAAGGGTCTGTGCTCGTAGATTGCTGGAGAGCTGGGCACCATTTAGCCCAAAGTCACAGGCTTTGTCTTATGACTGCCCATCTGCTTCTGGCATGTACAATGCTGAGCAGCAGCACTGGCATGGAGGTTGCAGGAGCCATTAGACTGTGGTGAGGTCCCACCTTTGCCTGAAGCAGACTTACTCCAGGCACTTGGGTGCTTTACCCACAGACAGGGACTGAGGCCTGTCCCCTTCATAATGAGGGATGGTGACTGTGAGCTTCTGGCCACTTCTGTGAGCTTGAGTACACTTCTGGGTGTGTACTCAAGGCTCACGCTCACCCACGAGGGCCTGTCCCTGTCACTAGTCAGGCAGCCAGTCATTTCAAGGGAGGTCACTGGCACATTGCTGGGCACTCTTCAGTGATTGAGAGAGTAATTCAGGTGAGCGTGCTGTGAATTGTGTGAACTAGTGGGATAGTATTTTGGTTCACATCTGTGCTGTTTCTGCCCCAGTAGCTGAGAGCAGTGGGTCAGTGCTGGGAGTACTGTGTTCATCTGAGCTATAGCCTGTGTCCAGACTGTCACAATGTCCTAAGCTAAACTATCAGTGCATATGAGGGGAAAAAACCATTGCTTTACTGTCAGAATTGGCTTGCCAAGGGTATCTTTTCCAGATCACTACAAGGTCAAATGAAAAAGTTTTTTCTGTGGTAGGTCCATATCTACATGCTTCTCTAGGATTGGTTTTCCAGTTTATTGCTATTTGTTGAAGTCAGGAAGGCAAATGTGGAACAGAGTTAAATCTTTGGCATATGATAGAATTGGACCATGTGTATTTTTTTTTTTTACTTCTGTCATAGTCTTTGTGATTCATATATGTACATAAGTTACATATATATTTCTCTATATATATACATGTATATATGTATATTGTGTAAAACTTAATTTCATTCTTACCAATCTTGTAAATTTAAAGATTCCTTCAAATCTAACACTGAAATTCTTTTTTATTAATTGATACACTCCAAAAAGTGTTTTTCTGATCTTTTGGAAGCCCAGGTGTTGCAGCATTAGGTAAAACAGACAACGAAGGAAAAATTACAAATAAAATGGTAAGTTTCCATTGTGGAAGCTAACATGGTCCAAAGTAGTTAATTCATTGATGTAGTAATTTGCTATCAGAAATTAATTATAATAATCTTTTTCTTCATCATACAGTCCATTTTTCCCATAAATATGTTGAATCAGGCGAGTTTCTTCTAAGAAGGCCATGTGTGAGGAAACCAATCTTCCTTTGAGGCTAAAATAACAGTGTGACACATCCCTAGAAATAAATGTGGTTTTACTTACCTAGGTTTACTCCTGTTAGGATTAATTCCTCAAAACCAGTCTTAGAGCAGTCTTCAGTGTTCTCCTTCACAATACAGGATCAGAAGGGACTCTGAGAACCAAAGAGGACCATTTCTGTGTTGATTTCAATAAATCTCTTTGATACTTGTTCTCACACTGGCCTGCTTTGCTTTGTTTGAAAGGAATTACCTCTAAAGCTCAGAAGCACAGGGCAGAAGTGTGATGTAATTGCTGAGAACATGAGGCAGTGCAGTGTTAAGAAGTGGATATAGTTGGGAAAAGAGTAATGGTTTTTGCAGTGATGCTTTCCCTCACCATCATGGCTCTGCATGGCCTGGCAGGCTCAACTCACACAGCTGTGGTTTTCAGTGCTGGTATCAGCCTCATCTGTGGCAGGGCATTCACCGTTGGAGGTAAGGGATAGACAGCAAGACAGCATAAAAACAAGATTTGGATTTGGAGGAAAGCAGCTCAGGAAACATCCAGCGTTGCTTTGTCTCATTTGCTTTTTCATCCTTTTTTTCTCTATTGATCATCCTCTGTGTTTGCTTGGCTAATGGAATTCATGTTTATGGGTGGTGATTGTTTTGTACACGTGATCTTTGCAGAATAACAGTCATAAAGCATTCTTTTCCTGGAAGATATCTATGAATATAATAAACATATAAATAAAAAATATTGAAAATTTTCTGAAAGTATTTGCAGTGCATGCATGATGTATGTGCGGTTCTAGTTCTTGGAATAAGCAGTTAGATGTGAATTAATTTAGGTACACATATTTTCTATTAGAATGATAATTATGTAAAGAAATTTAAGTGTTTAAACTTAAAAGTGTTGGAAGTAATTTAAAAAAACTCCTTACTAAAGAATTTAGGCAATATCTACAAGCTTCTAAGAGTGTTCAGCCAAACAAATGCATATACGTATCAAGTAAAGCCACATACTTAAATTGTTTGGTATTCTCTGCCTTTCTCATTTGAGACATGTTTGTGGAATAAAAAGACCAATTTTCTTCTCTTATACATGGCATTTGTCATTTTAGAATGGTGTCACATTGAATGAACGTAATCAATTTTACATTTCTTCTCTTTATGTTGATTTATTCTGGTGGCAAAGTGAAGAATCTTCCAAAGTGCAGTCTTCAGCTTCCAGGAGAAATGTGTGCATGGAAGAGAGTTTTTCAGGAGCAGGCTTGAAATGAACCCTATACAAACTTACTTTTAGGAAAAAGAATCCTTGATAATTTTCCATCAGATCTAGACTCTTGTTGTTTTAATCCTGGTATTATAATTGAATGTTCTATATTGTGTGGAATGTTGTATAGTAAAAAAAAAATACACTTTATTGTTGTATTTTGGGATCACAACTATGAAAGAGATATTTTAGATGCTATTTCATAATATTTTCATAAGTCTTTTGAGTTCATAATATTTTCATAATATTTCAGAATATTTTCATAAGTAATTTGAGTTTACATTCATTGAGTTCACATTCATTTGAGATGTGTTTGCATTATCAGGAGCTCCAGATGGATCAACAAGCTAAGAAACATCTCCAAGAGGAATTTGATGCTTCCTTAGAAGAAAAGGATCAACTTATTAATGTCCTGCAAACTCAGGTAAGATAATTTACCAAACAAATGATGTTTAAAACTGCTCTTCTTAACTTTTCCTTTTAGCTATATATTTCCTATGATGCATATCCATGTTTTATTATAATTGCTCTGAAGTTGAAACTCATCTTGTGAATTTAGAATTTTCTGGAAATAAGTGTGTCTTTGTGGTAGAGGATACCTTTGTAAAAATCTCACTCATGTTAAATAGGATTGGCTGATTTGCACTTAAATACCTTTGTGATGTTTTTGTCATCAAGACATCAACATTAGCAGATGTCTGACCTAAAATTGCTTTTGCAAAATTCATGTATTTTGCTTAATTGGTCTTTTTTTCTCTACCCATAGTCTTTTGTTAATTGGAAGCATAATTCTGAGTTCTAAAAAATGGTAAAAAATTTCAGACAGATTTTTCCTTTTTCTACTTGCTTATATCAAAATTAATTTAACTCTTTCTAGTTTTGAAGATTAAAAAATTATCTGCTTTGAATCATTAGATTTTTTTTTAACAAAAAGAACATTTTGTTTAGGTGTCATTGCTGAAACAGAGATTACAGAATGGTCAGATAGACACTGAATTGCCTGATCAAAATGTCCAATCAGAACCACAAGTTCGAAGTCCAATGAAAGAAGTCAGTGCAGAAAATATTGTGGAACCAGGAAGCAACGGTAGGCATTGTGGCTTTTTCAAGAGATATTACGTTTTGGGGAATAAACCTGTTGTTATTTATGATGGAGTAACAATATTTAGGGCTGACCATGTTGTAGTAAGGATATATTTTCTAGAAGAAGACAGTTGTTTTGAAAACCATCTGGCAGCTAGAGGACAGGATAATCCTTTTAAGAAACTAAATTTTCATAAGAATTCAGATCTTGTATGTCTTTCCTTTGTCAATATCGATAATAACATTGTAATTATTGCTTTGTTGGTAGGTGTTCTTACTATCCCAACTTAATACAATTAAGAGATTCTGTCCCCCATAAGCGAGCACCTATCCCTGGAGTTTAGAGAGCAGATTAGTTGCCAGTCTCTGTCTTTTTGTTTGTGACTTTGGGGGTTTTTCTCTTGTTTTATCAGAAGAAAAGTAAAAACAAAGATAAATTTTGATATTCCTGCTATTAATAACCTGAATATTCCTCATGTCTGGAGGTTGTTTAAATTAGTGGAATTCTCAGTGTTGTATGTATTTGATTACTGAGCAAGGGACATTATAATGCTGATACATAATAAAAGTGTCTTTCATTGGTACCCTTCATAAAAGGTGGGGTTAAGACAGAGGTAAACATATATCTTGAAATTATATTTGTTCAGCATCTGCTATGGTTTTTATATGCAGGGATGATAGGAAGTGTTGGGGGGGAGATGTTCTTATCTAGTGCCATGGTTTTTGTACTGCTTAGTCAATAATGAAAAATTGTGATTCCAGATGTTTTCTGTGCATGAGTCTGCCTCTGGTCTGTAGTGTGCCAGGCATCCACCAAAGCTGCTCTCTCACTCTCCTCCACAGCTGGACAGAGGAGACAAAATTTAAAGATGTATTCATGAGTTGGGATAAGACCCCTTACTAAATACCATCATTGCCAAAACAGCCTCGAATTATAAATACGAAGTGAATTTATTACTAATAAAATCAGAGCAGGATAATGAGAAGTAAAATAAAACCTTAAAAACACCTTCCCCCTCACTGCCCCCCCCCCACCTCTACCTCTACCTCTTTCCCCAGAGGGTCAGGGAACGGGGGTTTATGGTCAGTTCATCACCTGTGATTTCATCCACTGCTCAGGGAGAGGTAGGAGTGCTTCTCCTGCACCATTGTGGGGTCCCTCCCATAGGAGACAATTCTCCAAGAACTTCTCCAGCATGAGTGCATCTCATGGGCAGCAGCTCCCTGTGAACTGCTGTAATGTGAGCCCATCCCACAGTCCTCCTCAAACTGCTGCAGCATGGGTCACTCTTCCACAGGGTGCAGTTCTTGAAGCACAGGCTACTCCAGAATGGGCTTCTCTCTCCCTGGGCCTCCCACAGGGTCACAGTCAACTCTCGGGCATCCACCTGCTCTGGCATGGGCTCCTCCATGGCTGCATGTGGATCTCTGCATCCCCTTGGTCCTCCATGGGCTGCAGGGGCATGGCTGCTTCACCATGGTCAGCACCACAGGAAGCAGGGGAATCCTAGCACCTCCTCCTCTTCTTTCTCCTTGGATTTTCATGTCTGCAGAGTTGTTCCCTTCACATGTTCTCACTCTGCTTTTCTTTGGCTGCAATTACAACTGTACAATCACTTTTTTCTTCTTTCTTCTAAATTTTTATATCATAGAGGCATCACCACCATTTCTAATTGGCCCAGTCTTGACCAGCAGCGCATCTGTCTTTGGAGTTTTGCTGGGGATGGCTCTGCTGGAAATGAAGAAAGCTTCTGGCAGCTTTCTGGCAGCTCCTTGCAGAAGCCACCCCTGTAGTTCCCTTTCAACTACTGAAGCTTGGCCATGCAAATCCAGTACAATGTCAAATACTCTTGCAACCTCTAGAGCATCAGAGCAGAAGCACACAGTAAAATACTACCAAATGTGCTAGTTATGCAGTGATTCAAACCTACTGAAAAGGCGTAGGTTTAAATTATAGATATTAGAAAAAATTCTTTACTGTGAGGGTCATGAGGGACTGGAACAGGTAGCCCAGAGAAGTTGTGGTTGCCCCATCCTTTGAATTGTTAAAGGCCAGGCTGGATGGAGCTCTGAGCAACTTGTTCTGTGAGGTGTTCCAGCCTAGGGTAGAGGAACTAGATGATCTTTAAGATCCCTTCCAACCCAAACCAGTCTATGATTCTATGAGTACTGCTCAGAAAGACACTTAGAATAACCTTTATCCTGCTGAACGTAATATTGCCAATCTGGGTATTTTAGAATTAATTTCATACCCAGCCTTGGGAAAGCAAGAATCTGTGTGCATGGCACTTGAGTGATTTACTTTGCATCACATTTTTTCCTACTTGTGCATATTATGTTAGTAGCAGCAGGCAGGTTTATAAACCATGATGACTTTTTCATTAAGTAAAAAACCTTGTTTATTAATAGCTTCATTTTGAAGCTCATAAAGTATGGGGTTTTGTAAGCTAACTTGGTGTTAAATACTCTTTACTACTCTGTGTATGTGTGGAGTATTTCTGGCACTTACAGAAGGAACTAGGAAGTTTTGCAGACTTCACACAACTTTCTTTAGAGACTTGTGAATCCACTGCATTGTGAATGATTGCAGAAATTTGGAAATGTCATGCATGTGGTAATGTTGGTATGTTGTCTTATAGAGGATAATGAAGATTCTGTTAAAACACTGGAAACTCTTAATCGGAGGGTGAAGCGCCAAGAGAACTTGCTGCAACGTTGTAAGGAGACTATTCGGTCACATAAGGAGTCCTGTGCCCAACTGACCAATGAGAAAGAGGCACTTCAAGAACAGCTGGAAGAGAGGCTTCAGGAACTGGAGAAAATGAAGGTATGGAAAGTACTCTTAGCTTTATGGGTAACCATGAAAATACAGTAAGAACTCCAGTATTTCCAAAATTTATTGATAGGGCAGACCATGAAACAAATTTTCCCTGTACTTTTTGGAGAAAAGGGTTCAAAACACACCTGGAATAAATACACTCAACAATTATTCTAGAGTGATGAAGTAGGGTATGAAAACTTACTGTATAAAAAACCATCAGAATGGTATTAGAAATAAGTAGTTGTGGGAAATTGGAGTGAGGAAAAGACTGTCTTAGCACAGAAAACAGAAGGTAAAGTAAGAAAAGTAGAGCAGAACTAAACCTTTAAGATATAGTGAACGAGGCATTAATTATGTAAATTAAGAGAAAGAAAACGAAGGCAGGGCAGTGGAGATCACAATATAGCGAATATAAGTGCAATCCCAAAGCTAATAAATTAATACTTGCTCAATTTTCCTTTTAAGGCCATTAGTGATGAGTGTGGAGTGTAAGTAAGATGGCTAATAGTAATGAAATCTGAAAATGTGCTAAGTATAGCTGTACCTAACTTTAGTTACAGAGATTAGATTCCCATCTCTGTCTTCATCTCTGAGCACTAGCCTGGTTTGAAAAAGCTGTGAAAGACTTGAGTGTTTTAATGACATTTTCTAGAACATGGCTAGTAACAATCATTTATGTTGCATTGCTGAGATTCTCTTGTAAACCAAAATGCAGGTAATGGAGCAGAAATCTTAGACATATTTCTTATTTTACTTTACCAACTCAGACCTCCATATGTGGAGGTTCTAACAACGCCTTCAGATCTCTGAATTACTACAGAAGCCATAAGACAGCCTACCTCTGGGAGATGTAAAAGTAATTTAGAACTACGCACTTCAGTTTCCCTTGATTGTGTTCTGTGTTCTTCCTCCAAGGCATAGTGCAGGGTCAGAGCCTAAGCTAAGCTGTTTGTCAACCAACTTGTGGTTGGGATCTTTTTTTAGGACCTTCACATGGCTGAGAAGACTAAACTGATTACACAGCTACGTGATGCAAAGAATTTGATTGAACAGCTGGAACAAGACAAGGTAAAAAAGCTGTAGGTTTTGATGAAGATTGTTTAAAACACAAAATATCTAGTTCTTGGTATTAGAAGCTGGTTTTAGTGGTCTGATGGTTTCATCTATGTTTAAATAAACATGTAATTTAAGCTACTTAAGAATTTTATTGTATATATATATCATATGTCTGTTAAATTATACTTAATACTGCAACACAACATTGTATAGGATGAAGCAGATATACTGAATACATTCCTTGATGCCAATTCTAAAACAAACAAAGAAACCCCAAACACAAATCAAGATGAGATACAATTAAATTGATTTTAAAATAACCAATAAAGTAACTGTGCTTTCAATAGACAATAAGGAGTTTCTCCATTTTTCACTTCTTGAAAGTTTTTTAATCACAGTCTTGGTACCTGGAGTAACTTCTGGTGGTGTCATAAGTGACACAACTAACATTGTATGGTGTAAACTTAAAGTAGAAGTGCAGACTCTACAATGCTTTTAGTGTGGGTTTGTTTACAGAATACGTGTTTCAAAGGAAAGTGTCTGTACTAGAAGGAGGAAATTTTTGGATGGTCCATGTTTGCTGGAGTTCTTTTCACCACTTGATAAATTTTGGATACTCTTAAAAATAAACCCTATTCTTACTTTCTTTTTGTTAGCATTTTCTGTTTTCTGACATAGAAAAATCCTATGATCTCTGGTCTCATAATAAGAGACTACAGTTTATTCCTGGCAAGGATTATGCCCTGGCTTGAAATTGTTTCAGGTCTATGTCTTATTTATTTGCTAGCTTTTTATCACAAGGACCTTTTCCATAGGGCATGGTAATTGCAGAGACAAAGCGGCAAATGCATGAGACATTGGAAATGAAGGAGGAGGAGGTAGCCCAACTGCGTGCTCGAATCAAACAAATAACTACAAAAGGCGAGGAATTAAAAGAGCAGAAAGAAAAATCTGAGAGAGCTGGTAAGAATATACCTACATTATTTGTTTTCACATTTGTACATCAGAAAACTTCAGTGTGGTCTTTTTCTATAGTTGTTTGGAATGAATTTTAAGAGATGCTCTTTTTTCTGTTGTTCTACACGTCACCTGTGGCATCATTACTAACTTCGCTTCTGGACAGCAGAGTGTAGGGATGCTTTTGACTGATCTGTTACCTGAAAGCTGGATTTAGGAAAGAAACTTCTGAAAGGCAACTGTACTTCCTTGTTTGTACAGGAAAAAAGTGATTGAGTCTTCTTCTAGTCTAACTTAAGAAAAGAAACTTGCAAGTACCTATAAATTGTCATTATAATGCCACCAGGAATTCACATAGAAAACATAGCAGTGAGTGTATAAGAGTTTGTGAAGAAGTAAAAATGTTATAACGATAGTAAGCATTTTCTTTCAATTATTTTAATAGAAACATTTCTGATTGAAGTGAAACAGCAGTGATAATTCCTTTTGCCTCAGGCTCGTAACAGAGGAACATTTATGTAACTGTTATATGATGTAGTTTGCTTTTTATGGAAATTAGGTAACATTATGTGTGCTTGGAGTTCTACTTTTGCATGAAATGAAGTTTAACCATTGTTTTTTAAACAGTGAAATTGTTTTGTACTACATCAGAATTCTTTTAGAATTATTTAATTTGTTCTCACGGGCATGCAAAGAAGCTCACTCTTTTGGCAGAAGCTCAGGTGTTACTTTGAATAAAATACTATACATATTTTCTTTCTCTAAAAAGCCATGAAGAGTTCAAACAATGCAGTTCATAGTGGTTTATTTTTTAAATCTATATAGATTTAGATTAGAGCTTGCAATTTTAAAGATTGATTTGGATAGATCATTCTGCTGTAATGCAGAAAACCAGCTGGAGCATCCATCTTGTGAATGTAATAAACATTTTCATTAGGTCCCTTCCTCTCCTACCCTTTCAAGGTTGCATGCATCTTTTTAGTTCTGGAAATTCATACTTCAAAAGTCAGTCAGTCTTACAGTGTATTTTGTTTGGTACTGAGACTAGAAAGCTCTTCATGACTAAAAAAAGAAGGTGAAGAATCTTTTAATACTTCTGTAGATATGAAGTTATTATCATAGTTTTATGCAATAGTGTTTCTTGAGGCAGGAGAAACAATTATGAATTATTAATGTACTATCCACACACACTAATTAATGCAGTAAGTTCTTCAAGTTTGCCTGGCCAGAAGCGGAAATCAGGTTAGAGATGATTCTGTAGACAACTAGAAAACTTTCTGTTGTATTGAGAAGTAATTTAATTTGAATGAATGTTGTGTTGAGTACACTACACTCTTCTAGCGGGAGATTTGTGTGTCAAATGTGCTCTTTTTTGAACAAAAATTTTAAGTACTTTGGTTGATTTTACAATGTCTAAGTGTCAACTTTACCTTCGAGTTTATTTATTATAGTCTTTTAAGCATGCATGTATGTGTGTTGGAAAATTAGTTAACACTGCTTTTAAGACAGAATTGTGAGGTGACATTTATTATATTTTTCTGTTGCATCCTTGGCTTAATACATTACAAAAATATTATAATCTACAATGTTAGTGTGGCTCAATACAGTTGAACTAAATTATTTGAGAAAACCGCCTCGCATTCCAAGAGAGCCTGAAATTGCTTTTTAGGCCTCAGCCTTTGAGTTGTAATGGATTTATGAATTGGGTAATTTCATGTATTTAGGGTCAACATTTAAAAGTTCTGGGTTTTGGATAGGTAATGTGAGCTGACTTTGACAGAACCACAGATTTGGTAAGGTTGGAATGGACTACAGTGTATCATCTGGTCCAACCTCCCTGCTCTGCTAGTGTCATCATAAACCACATGGCAGACTGTTAAATTCTAGGCATCTTTTTCTATGTCATGGTTTAGTGAAGAACTGAAATTAAGTAGAACTGGAACCAAGTAGAAATGTTAATTTCATTTATGTTATATTAAAATAAGAATAAGCATAATACACTTGAAATTTATTTTTGTAGTGCTGCTTGGAGACTAAAAATTGATATAGATTTCCATGTCGTCTTGCCTACTGTTACATCTCTGGCATTTTTCTTTGTAAATCAGGACTTTAGAATTGCTCCAGTGTTTGATTTAATGTGAATGCATTTTTGTGTAATGAAATAATGAAAAGATATGTATGCTTATTTTTTGTTGCGTACAAAACAGTACAAACTGTAATTTGGTCTCCTCAGTTCAGTTCTTTTTCTATTTGTAGTTAGAGGTACATTATGTTGAAATCTCTCAGAGCATCTTGTTTTTGTGCATCCACATATGCCAATAAGTGAATCACGGTGCCTTTCCCAAGCCTTGTATGAACAGGACAGGGGTAAGGGTGCTGGTTTTTTTACATCACACATTGGGTGCTTGAACTGGGTTCTAAAAGTAAATTCTGTGCTTCTCAGGCACTTCTACTTGAGGTAACCGCAACACATTTCTTTTTTTACTTCAACAAAGATCTTTTTAGTATTTATAAATTTCTAGCTAAACTTAAGTTCTTTTCTCTTGGGATTACCTAGCCTAAGTACTTTATGACTTCTCAGGATGCAGATTACTGACTTACTAATAGTCAGTGAGCAAACAAGGTCTTTAGAAAGCAAATCCTACTTATAGGCAGCATTTTTTTTTTTGCAAGCTTAATTAACATATGCTTTGCACTTTTTTTCAGTGAAGAAAAAAGGATTGGACTGCTCATTTAAAATCCTGCCTAGATGCACAAGTCAGCTGTAGAAATTATTTCAACCTTTTTTTTTCAAAACTGGGACATGATGCCTGCTCTCAGCCCTCAGAAATTGAACGTGAATCTCTCCTTTGCCAGCCGGTATACAAAGCTGGTTTGCTTCCTTCACAGTGTTTAGCACTGGGAGGCACTCTAGACAAAGAGAAAAGGTGTGCAGCACCAGCAGAGGAAACCAGAAGGCTTTGCAGTGCAAAGTGTTACTCTGGGTGTGGGGAGTAAGGTGAAGGGAACCGACACTGGGACTTTGGAGTGGTGTAGGTAAAGTAGTCAACTGTCCACCCCATGTTGTGTAAAAACAGATTAGCAAACTTAAACTCTGCTCAGACTCATTTTTTGTGACTTACATACTGCACAGGAAAGTTTTCAATTTGTCTGGCTTTGTCACATTAATGGGGTTTTGCAAGACGAACCTGAGACTATGTTGGTGTGCTTGTTTCTACTTCTGATTTGCTGATGTGCCTTTGTGAGACTTCATTCAACCAATACTTGGTTGAAAGATCTTCCCTGAACAGAGTTCTGCAGGCTGGAGAAGAATGCAGAGGCAGTGCCTTTACTCTCTACATTCAGAGTAGCTATATTTAAACAAAAACATGGACTTTATTTCATGTTTTGATACAGAGAATTAAAATCTCTCACAGATTAAGAGTAACAGTGACAATAGAGACCACATTCTGTCTGCTTGATGATAGTTTAGCCCTCTGCTGGTTTGAAACTTGGTTGTGTCCAGCTACACTAGAATTAACTACTTTGAATGAAAATACTCTGTTTTGCTTAAGAGCTAAATGTGCCTGAGAGGTGTATAATTTAACTTTTAGTGATCCAACTGTGTTTCTGTGAAGTATTGCTTCTTTGTGCTTTCATACCCTCTTGGCTTTTTAACCATCAGCTTTTTTCTAGTTTTGTATTAGCCTCCTGCTTGTGATTATGGTGATGCAGCTTTTGTATTGCATGTTTCTCAGCAATTTCATATCAGTAGTCAATCCTGTTGTGAGCCTGAATCTTCTCTTTGGCTGATCTGTGGGCTATAGCAAATGTATTCTCTTTCCTTTTGCAGAAGGAAAGAGAATACAAATGAAAATAAATGAAAATAAAAATAACATTTTCTCAAATGAAAATAACGTACATGATGCTCAGAACAAGAATAAGAAAATGTGAATGGAAAAGTGAAATAATGTTCTACTTGCAGGCTTTAGTTTCAAGCTATACTTTGCAAAGGCCCCTAGGATGGGGTGGATTTTTGTTTTGTTTTATATTTTTGTTTGCTTGTTTGGTTCGATTTTTGTTTGGTTTTGAAAAAAGATGATGCTGTAGTACTGAATGACTTCACCAGTTTTGCTTGGCCTGCTTTTGTTAGGACTGAGAGGAGCATCAGGGAAGTCATTACCATTCTCCAAACACAGTTTTGCATTAATCTGCTGTGTTCATAATCAACTTGTGCCTGGTGTTGCAAGTGGGGAGAACTTGAGTCCTATAGATGGCATGTGGTAAAATGCCTTCCTAGGACTGTGAAGAACTGTGCAAAATAAGGAACTATAAGCCTTGTGCATGCTTGTATTACATTTTAGACTGTTTCTGCTTGAAATAATCTCTAGTGATCGTAAGTTTTTGTAATAGTTTTAGCATTTAAGCAGAACCAGAAGTGGAAGAGTGGATACAGTGATCTGCTTTGGTATTGCCAGAATCAATAACAGCCCCAAAAATCAATAATTTTGCCTTAAGACATGATTGTTGCTGTGAGTAGTCAGAATAAGGCTTCCTCAAAAAACAAGAAAATTCTGTAGAAGGTCAGAATTGGGGTGAATCCAGTTGCATGGAATTAAGTTACTTGAAGACATATTTGCAGCACTGTCTCAAAAGTACAGACTGTGGTTAAAATCTTCAGTGTTTAATGTTGTCAAAAGATGTGGGATGGAAATAATTGCTCACTTCTCAAATACATGCTTGAATGTTATTAAAGGCAACTTCAAAAAAAGCAAAGATTGCAATAACTGCTGTGAATGCCTACGAACTAATGATGAATCAATAAAACTAGAGATGTGAGAGTCTATTACGATTTTCTTTTGGGAACAGAATTTATTGGAAGAAAGCTTAGAAAATAAATAACACTTCAGAAGTTTGGTTTTTTTCTGTTTCCTTGCAAAATAGAGTCCGAGTAGTCCAAGGTTTAATAGAATAATATACTTTTAGGAGTTTGTGCTCTGATAAATTAGAGTCTTGATATTGGCACTGTGATTTTGAATTTTACAGAGGTGTTTTTCCAAAATTCTGTTATGCTAAGTACTAAATTTTTCTAATAAGGGTGTAGGGGTTTTCTATCGCAGCAGGCAGAGGTGGTGGAGTGCTGCAGCCTTCCCAGAGGAGCGTCTTTAAGAGGACGTCCTGGGTGCACAGGCACATCTCGCTCCTGCCGAATGATTTCAGCTCTCGGGGGATTTCAGCCATGAGCGATGCAGAAGGAAGGGATGGAGTCTTCATATGGGGTTGCACCGAGATTCTTTATTGAGCTCCTACCTTGAAGGGGTCCAGGGACAAAGAACTCTTTCAGGCAGAGAGAGCAGGGGTTTATATAGGGATAGCGAGGGGTGGGGCAGAACATGTGAGCGATTGAGATGAGGGCGCAGGGGCAGAACAAAGGAGAAGGGTCAGTGGGATACATAGAATCAACATACGGCAACAGTGCACTCTTGGGGAAGTTTTTTTCCTCGCCATGACCAGGAAGGTTGTTGCTTAAGGGTTGTCCCTCCAGGGGAGCATGGTAAGCTTTTCCCCAGCCGGTTTACCATCCTCAACAGTTTTCCACACTCAAGATCCCTTCAGGAAAAGAGATTTCCCTAATAATGATTGAACTCTAGTGTTGTGTAATTCTGTGTAGACTCTGACATCAGTTGTAGTGAGTTTTAGGGGTATTGAATAAATAAACAAGCTCACAATGCTGGAATTTATTTGCTTTCTTTTTATATCTAAATTATCATCTGTGAAGTGAATAAAGCATGTTAGACTATGTCACCTTAGCATGAGATGAAGCTGTGGAATTACTGCTTTTATTTTGTAAATTAAAATGTGTTTCAGTGGATTTGTGCATCCTGAGGAAGAGTAATTAAATCTCAGCACTGCAGCTTGAGTGTTCTTTTGAAACAACTTACAGCTATTCAAGTTTTCTGAGAGCAAATCTTTACTTTTATTTTTTTTATTTTTACATTTTATTTGTGAAGTTAGAAGTGCCAGACAGTCAGCTACCACAGTGATAGAAGTGTACATTAAATGTAAATAGTGAGATAATGAAATTAGCAAAGCCATCTCTGTGGACTCTATGAAACAGTTTAAAGAAACAATTCTCTAGGTTTTACTGTTTGGAATTACTCTTAGGTATATAAAGTGCCTGATATTATACATTAATGTTCTATTCGGGAGAAACTCTTCATGACCTGCTAATAACTGACTTGCATAGTAGTCATTCTTGGTTTGTTTCTGTCTGCTTGTTTTAGTGTGAATTACCTTTCTTGGTGCAGCTATTTTCTGCTTCTTCAAAGTTTATTCAGCAGGTATAAGCAGAAGAGGAGTGTTGTAGTTCATTCATTAATATGGTTTATGCATTTTATAGTGATTTTAGGCAAAGAAATAGAAGCTACATGATGTATTGGAAGAAATACACATCTATGTGTCAGTTCTCTTTCCTTTCTAGAAAATAAACATGAATTCTAGGTTAATTCTTAAATTCATTCTTCTCTTTTTGTGAAATTCTTCTATCAAAATGTATAGATATTTCTCAATTATCATATACTTTTTTTTTCTTCACAGCTTTTGAAGAGCTTGAGAAGGCTATAAGTATTGCCCAAAAGACAGAGGAAGCCCGTAAAAAACTGCAAATAGAAATGGAAGAAAAAATTAAAGCAGTAGAAAAGGCAAGTGAAGAAGAGAGAGTAAATCTTCAGCGTGAACTAACCAGAGTGAAACAAGAGGTGGTTGAGATTATGAAGGTAAAAACTATTACAGTTAAACTATTGTTGTAAAATACATCAGTATGACAGAACTCTGTTATAAAGCTTTTGCTAGTTAATAAAATCCATGAAAGTTATTTTCTGTGATTAAAGATTTACTTAATGAAAAACCAAAAACTCTTCATAGATGTTTTTGCTTCAGCAATTTAAATCAGTTCATTAATGGCATGTAAACAGAAATAGTATTATCCTTTGCTTCACAGTATTTAATAAAATTGTTTATTAAAAGTGTACTTGAGACTTTAAACAGAGACAAGAAGACATTAATGGCAGGAAACTCACACATCTCCACAAGGATTTGGGGTTTTAATAACTTTTAGCTTTTAATCATTATCCTAGCTGAGTATGTGTAAGTGTTTAAGAACTTGTTGCCATATTGTTTGTGGGTTAAAAGTTTCTATAATTTGCTTTTTCTGGTGTATTTAGTTAGGAATTGCTGGAATACTTCACACGCCTTACAAAGCTGTAAATTTGAACACCCTTAAGTTACAGTTCTTGTAATGATATCCACAATGGTATTAATTTTTTTAAGAGAATACACTGATGCTTTAAGGGGACCGCTGATGTGCTTCACATTATTCTTAAATAAAGCACATATGTAGGTTCTAGATAACTGTCTACACAGAGTATCACCACTTGACTTTCTGGCTTATAAAACAAGAATACTGAGAAAGCTACAAAAAGTTCCTTTTCCAATGTGTTATCACGTTTGAACTGAAAACACAAGTTTGCCTTGGAGAAGAGTCTTTAGAAACAACTATGTGTCTTTAGTACAACTATGAAAGACTTGAGAAGGAAGATGGATAACTTAAAGCTTGAAAATAAGAACTGTCAGGGCTTTATATTAAGCACTCTAAGTGATCAGAACTTAATCAAAGGGAGCAAAGAGATGGTTCCGGTTTCTTCTGTCTGTCTGCACTATTTTCTTATTAAGAAAAAATAGAAAGTGTTTTGTTAGTTAATATTTTGAAATTAGTTTTTTGTGACTTTGATTCACAGAAATCTTCAGAGGAACGAGTTGCTGAACTAGAAAAAATCCATAAAAAAGAACTGGCTGCCAAAGATCAGGAGTTAAATGAGAGATTACAGGCTCAAGAAAAGGTATTCCAGGAGAAGATGAAGGCAGCTCTTGTAAGTAAACCTAACACGCATAAAAAGACATTTCTCTAAGTGTGAGTTGGGATTAGAAGTCTTGAGTTGACACTATTCCACAGTGAGAGTCGTCCTGTGCTTAAAGATAGGAGTGCTTTCCAAAAGTCACATAGCTCAGAGATTTCAGGAATGTGAAAAGAAGGCAGCTGCAATGATGCAGACTGAGTAACTTATAGTAGTAATAGTAATAACTTAGTAATGATAACTTACCACTGTCAGTGCTCAGCAACAGCTGTATCTTGTGGAACCTATTTATTTTTTTGAAATTTTTTAGACTTGATTTTTAATATATTTCTGTGGATTATTGGCAATCAGGCCCAGGAACTAGAGTAAAAGAAATACAAAAATTGAGGCTGTTTGAAAAGTGTTTGTATAGTTATGTCTGGTTGTATTGTGTTATGTGAACAGGGTTAACTATTCATATTGTTTGGCATCAGAAAAAGTATTTTCTTAGAGATCAGACTGGGAAAAATTGTTGAAATTCTTTGCACTTTTTCATGAACTGTAATCCACTATAGATAATAATGTAATTTTGCCTAAATAGTTGATATATATGTAACATATATGTATATATATCATCTGCATATATCTGTTACAAATAACGGATTGGTTTTTGTGCCCCTCAAGGATGGATAGTGAGTAGGACTGAGAGACTTTGACAGCCCTGTTCTGAGTATATTTTTCTACCTGTTTCAGAGGTTACTTCCTTAATTGTAAGAAACAAGTTTAAAAATATCTTAGCAGTGGAATCAAGTGAGAACAGACTTTATTCCTGTCTTGGTTTACAAGACAGATGTCTGCTAGGGAAGGCAGAAAAAGCCTCCCTTGGAATGGAGAATGTAAACTCCCTCCCTCCACATTTTTAAATTGTGAAATTAAGGGCTGTCAGGCAAAGATATGGCTAGAGGAATAACAGTTCTTTACTGCTATGCGTAATAAAGCAAACAAACATGAGCAACTTCGGCATTAACAACAAACAGAACCAGGGACCCAGCGACAGCCTTTTGGCTGCGGCACTTCCTCCTTGGGTGCAGTTACAGCCACAGCCCGGCAGGGGCGCTGTTGGCTCCCGGTTGGCAGGGCAGGTGCGGTGATTCCCCGGCAGCTGCAGGGGGCGCTGTGGCGCTGGCTCGGGGAGCAGATGGCAATGGCGGCTTCTGTCCGAAGATGGAAAGGAGTGGAAGAGAGGCCTTGCTTCACAAACCCTTGGGGCAGCCAGTTCCTGTGCCCCTAGCAGGACTCTCAGAATGCTGCAAGCTGGGCCGGCAGGGGCTGAGGGGCTCCCAGCAGGGCAGGGAGAGCTGAGCTCAGGATCCCGGGCACCTGAGCAGACAATGATAGTTGTCTTTTTTAGTGAGGTGCGTGTTAATAAGTTCAAGTGGCTGTTCTCATGAGCAGAGACTCACGCCACGGTAGAAGAAGCAGCTCTGGGCCAGTCTGCAGTAGCAGCAGTGGAATTCCTTTCCCCAGAAGCAGTGGCTCTGACTGTCCGCCTCTAAAACTGAAGCAGTGAGAGGGAGAGCTAGGACCTCCACCCAGCCCCTTATTCCAGCCAGAAAGAAAAAAAACCTCCCAAAAAAACCAAAGGAGTTTCCCCCTCTCTACCATCAGTTCTTATTAACTACTCAATGGGAACAAAATTCCACAAATAACAAGGAGGGAACGGAAAAAAAAAACCCAAACCAAAACCCAACCCCCAACAACTCCTCTCAGATGTTATTCTCAATTAATAGTGGTAAACAAACCAAAATGGAAGGCTTGATTACATTTATGTTTTTCATGCAAAGACAAGGGGTGTGACAAAAGGCTACTCACTTTTCATAAATTTAGAAAGGTTTATTAAACTTTATCAAAAATAAAACAGAAGACTGAATAGAGAAAATGTTAAGGTGCCGGGAGCAAAGGATTTTCCCCACCCTGTGCTCACCCACACAATGGAGGTTGGCCTTTTAACCCTTTAGCCCCTCCCAAAGTTCTGTCCATCGACTCCTTCTTCACTGTCCAGTGGTAGAGTTTACTTCCTCAAATCCTGATTGGAGGTCAGGTGTTGCCATAGTGACAAGCCAGCCCTCCCAAATGTCCCAACCCCGGCTGTCCCTTGATAACAATGCAAGGGGGTAAAACATAACTATAAATCTATAAAACTTCTCTTAAACTATATACATGATATTTGTCTGTTAATTGTGAGAGTCAACCATCACATTACTCATCTATCACAAGGGGTTTCCAAGAAAAAAAAGAAGCGATTTATTGCAATTATGTTTTCACAAACTGAATACAAACTCCATTTGTTTTTGTGCAGAAAGTAAAGATGATTAGTGTATGACTCCTATTAACTTGAAAATGTCCTATCATAATGTTCTTGAAGGTGGGATGACTGTATTTATAGTTTATTGTTTAGTTCTTCTTCTTCTTCATGCAGGAAAAAAATCAGAGTGAGTGCTTAAAAGTCCTTCAAGAGCAAGAACAGCAAGAATCCCTAGCCTTAGAAGAATTAGAGCTGCAGAAGAAAGCCATACAGTCTGAGTGTGACAAGAAAGTTGAGAAAATGCATCAAGAGTTAGAGACTTGTAGAACTGTGAGTAAAGATTCCAAAAGACTAAGTATTTACAAGTATGTATTTAACTGTGACAAGTTTACAAACGGTGATTTGTTGTGATTGGGTTCAGGAGTGAGGATGTTCGCCCAGTATTCGTAATTTTTTTAGTCGATCCTCCAAGTACAAAAACCTTGAGAGTGCACTAGTTCTGACAGGTGTCCCACTTAGAGGGAGATTGCTGGTTGCAGCCTGTGGTCAAGGAGAGCTCAAAGGGCCCCATTCTGGACCGCCGTTTATGGGATCACTAGAGTGTGGGCTTTAGTCATGTTATAAATGATCAAATCGATAACCATATTTATGAAAAATTTAACAACGATTTATTGGGTCAATTACAAAAACTAGAATTTCGAGCAACCACCACAATCAAGACAGCGTCAGTCCCAGGTACGGGCGCTGGATGAGCCCAGAGGTTCGTCCGACAGAGTGACGGCGTCCCCTCAAAGGTTCACACCTGAGTGTTTCCAGCGTCCAGCTTATATACAGTTTATTCTGCCTGAGGCACAGATGACCACATCTTTCCATTCACTTCTTCGAATGCACCTCCATTTCCATCCATATGTTGAAATAGACAAAGACAGGTCCTGTGTCTGAATCTAGTGAAATTCTTGGAACGCTGCAATTAATCATGGGCCGGGAAGGCCCCAATGTTATCTCCCAGGTGCAAGAGACAATGAAATGATCATTGATAGTCCAGGAAGGTTCCATTCAGAAGTTAAACAGGCCTGATGCTATCTTGAGCTGCCAAGAATTAGTTATAATCTGAATAGAACTCTGTTCCTGGCTGAGGGGGTTTAAAACATAATTTCTACAATATTTTATACCCACACATATCTATTTATACAGCATGAATTAACTCCATTACATATCACAGTCATAACAATGTTTCATCATGGTCACAGTTGTGTTGGCACTTTCTTTGAAAGTGTGAGAACAGGGATGTTATGCCATTCAGGCAAGAAAGCTAGTTTCTAGTGCAGTTTGTAAGGAAAACTTGAGCTTGTTAGACAGCAGCAGTTCCTGGGAATAGACAGGGTTTTTGATAAGCTTGGGAAAAGCTGAGCCCAGATACTGTTTTTTCAAGGCCGAGGCCTAATGAACATTTCTCAGATGTCAGTGCAGCCTGAGAGAAGGAGGGAGTGCACCACCACAGTAAGCAAAAATATTTGCTTAAATTTTTACAGTGTCCTTTGCTTTATGTAATGAGTAAGACTTTATTTTCTGCTAATGCAAGTTTGTACATTATTCCACCACTCCCAGATATTTGTTTCAAAGTTTTGCCTAAAGAACCAATAAAGCTTTACAGCAGCATTTCCATGGGAGGTAGAATTATGATAAATCATCAGGCACATACAAAATTCCATGAAGCTATTGTCAATTCCCTGTATTTTTCATCCAATATGTTGGTACTTTAGTTTAAGAAGAAAATGTGAACATCTCATAAATGTCGCTACTTACTTTATTTGAATTAGTTGCATTATTTTCAGGTTTTTGTGTGTATTTTCACTGTAGTGAGATAGCAAGTTTTTTATTAATTAGCTAACTCTCCATTAAGGAAGCAAAAGTGGGAACAAACCAGATGAATTAAAGGCTTATTGAAGAAGTTGACATTCACTAAAAATAATGGAATAAGTAACCTGTAGTTATGTAAACCTGGTAAGATTTTTAAAAAATTAATCAAATTTTTACTTTTTGAGTATTCATATTATTTTAAAACTGTATTTTAACAGAGGATTCTTGAACTGGAAAGTTCTCTTGCAAAGTACTTGCAAGATGACAGAAAGCAATCAGAGGAATTAAATACTGTCATAGAGTCTGAAAAAACCCAACACAGTAAGGAAATCAACGATATGGTTGAAAAACACAATAAAGAACTGGAGAATGTGAAACAGCAGCAAGAAAAGCTTTGGACAGAAAAACTTGAAATTTTAAAGCAACAACAAATAACTGAAATAGAAAAAATAAGAGAGAAACAACAAGAAGAGATACAAACCATTTTGAAAGAGAAAGAAACAATTTTCTGTGCGCACATAGAAGAGATGAATGAAAAAACATTAGAAAAACTAGATGTGAAACAAACAGAATTAGAGGCACTGTCTTCTGAGCTCTCAGAAGCACTAAAAATACGTCATGATTTAGAGCAAGAGCTCTCCGAATTAAATAGTAAAGTGTGTGAAGCTAAGCAAGAATTGAAAGGAAAGTTGGAGGAAGAGAGGAAATGGCACAATGAAGTGATTGAAACAATGGTAAAAGAGCATGAAATGTCTATTCAAGGTGTTGAGAAGGTACTCAAAGAGGAACTCGACAAGCTCAAACAATCCCTGGAGGAGAAGGACAGACATTTGGAGGAGTTAAAAGCACATGAACAGAAAATGAAGGAATCTGCAGAAAGATCTGAAGCTGAGCTTGTCCAAGTGTCTGCAAAGCTAGAGGAGCAAAGAAGTGAAAATATACAGAAAGTAACCACTCTAACACAGCAGTATGAATGTCAACTGAAGGACCTAGAAAGAAAGGCTGATGAGATGAAGAGAAATCTGAGTGAGAAGGAAAATGAAATGGAGCACATGAAGAAGTTACAGAACAAGCAAGTGGAAGAGCTTGAACAGAAACTGTTTGCTGCAGAGGAGAGAATTAGTGCTTTACAAGGAGAGTATGAAAGTAAACTTAAATGTCAGGAGAAGAAAGTGGAGAAAATGAAACAGAAATCAAAAGATATGCAGGAAACTTTCAAAAATAAACTTGCTGAGCAAGAAGCTAAACTAAAAAAGGAGCTTGAAAACAAGCAGTTGGAATTCAGTCAGAAGGAGAGTGAATTCAATACTAAAATTTTGGAAATGGCACATGCCAGCTCATCTGGAATCAATGATGCTGTGTCAAAACTGGAATCTAATCAGAAAGAGCAACTAGACAGTCTTGCTGAGGACCACATAAGGAAATTGGAAGAAGTAACCCAGAGTTGGGAAAAGAAATTTAATCAGCAGATTGAAGAGCTCAAGGAACAACATGCTATGGAACTGCAAGTGAAAGAGCAGGAAGTTGGAGACCTGAAACAGAAGCTTTTCACCTTCAGTGCTGAAAAGGAGGACTCCAGAACAGAAATAATCCAACTGAAGGAAGAACGAGTGAAAAGGGAGGAATGCCTGAAGGAGTTGCAAGAACAGCTAAGGCAGTCAGTGGCTAAGGTGGGTGCTTTGTCAGATAAGGAAAGTGACATGAAGACACAGTTGGAAAAAATGGAAAGTGATCTTAAACAGTCCCTGAAACAGCAGACAGGACTTCAGGAACAACTCAGTAAACAGAAAGCCGTTGAAGAGAAGGACAAAGCCACAATTACTGAGCTGGCTGATACAGTGAGAACCCTTGAAGAAAAACTCCAAACTGTGCAATCTTCTCAGTATAAAGATCATGAAAATTATGACAAAAAAATAGAGTCAATTCGGCTAAAAGAAACTGAGTTTAAAAGGTTGTCAGGAGAACTTACAGCCCAGTTAGATGCTTGGAAGAATGCTGAAGCTTCATTGCAAACTAAAGGCAATGAATTAATTGAAAGATGTAGTGAAAAAATTGGCATAATAACATGTAAAATTGCAGACTGTGAGCACCAAACTGCAAAGATTAAAGAAGCAATATTAATCAAAACAAGTAAGATAACTGAACTAGAAGCTCAGCTTAGGGAAATAACAGAGCGTCATTCTGCTGCTACTACTTCTTTGCAAGAGTCAATTCAAGAACTGCAGAAGAAAGACAATTTAATTATGTCTATGAGAGCTGACATTGCAGGACTTGAAGCAGAAAATAAACAATTGCAAAAAGAGGGAGGACATCAGCAGCAAGCAGCATCAGAGAAAGAAACTTGCATAACACAGCTGAGGAAAGAGTTATCTGAAAATATCAATGCTGTCACATCAATGAGGGAAGAACTCCAGGAAAAACAATCTGAAGTGTCTGCTCTCAACAAAACAGTTACTGACCTTAATGTTAGACTTGAAAGCACAGTAAGTTTAACAGAGAAGGAAGCAGCCATATTTCTGTTAAGCAAACAACATCAAGAGGATCGGTTGCAGTTGTTAAATCAAGTGGAAGAGTTATCATCCAGAGTTGAGATGCTGAGTCAAGAAAAAGCATCAGCTCTTGATCAGATAGATCATTGCACGGCCCAGTTGTCAGAGTGGAAGATGAAAGCACAAACCAAGTTTACACAAAATCATGACACTATCAAAGATTTGCAGAGCAAACTTGAATTAAGCAATACTGAAGCCAGTAAGAAAGATGAAGAGCTAAATAAACTGAAGGAACAGCTGGCTAAACAAAGCAGGAATCTTGATAGTTTAAAAAGTGAATTGGAACAAAAGCAAAACAGGAGGGAAAAGGAAGAAAGTGAGTTAACCTCAAAGTTAAAAAAACAAGCAGCAAAAATTGCTGAACTAGAAAAAGACATTGCTCAGAGAACCTTAGAAAATGATTCCTTGGTGGAGGAACTTAAAAAGTGTAATGAACAAAAAAACACAGAAAAAAAAGAAATAGCTTGCCAACTCCATCAGGCAGAGAAGGTGGCTTTTGAAAAGGAGAATAGATTTAAGAAGGCTGAAGAAAAAGTGCTTAATCTTGAGAAGCAAATAGATTCACTGAAAGCTGATTTTGAAGCAAAGGAGAAGGAATTTGATCAAATGAAGTCAGCGATACTTAAAAGGAAAGAGGAAGAACTGAAAGAATTAGAAGAGAGACTGAATGCAGAGAACAGCACTAAGCTGGCTGATCTGAAAAAGAAGGCAGAGCAAAAAATAGGTTCTATTAGAAAGCAGTTGCTGTCTCAGATGGAAGAAAAGGAACAGCAATTTAAGCAAGATAGGGAAGATCAGTTAAGAACGTTGGAGCAGAAGGTACAGGAGAGAGAAGCCAAAATTGAGTCCTTGGAAGAAAAACTTAAGTCAACAAGAGATTCCACAGAATTAGAGAAGGAGATGCTGGAAAAAGTAGAGAGTGTAAAAGCTGCTGTAGAACAAGAAAAAAATAATTTACTTGAGAGTGTCCAACAGACATACAAAGAGAAAATGGAAGTGTTACAGAAGGACTTAACTGAAAAAGATGCATTATTACAAAAGTATGAGAAAGAACAACAAGAGAGTAATGACTGTCATCTAGAACTGCAAAATAAACAGAAAGAACTCATTAAAAAACTAGAATGTGTTGAGAAGAGCCATCAGGAAGAGCAGGTTAGGACCAAAAGTCTGAGCAAAGAACTTGAGGAGCAAACCAAAAAGTATTCATTGTTAGTGGATGAGCATGCTTGTTGTGGCAGTGTTTTAGCAAGCAGTAGAGAAGAATTGAAAGTTAAGGAACAAAAATATCTTGATATGGAGAATATAATTGGAGACTTACAGAAAAAAATGCAGGAAAAGGAGGCAGTCAGTCAGTCTTTAGAACAGAAGATAAAAGAGTTAGAAAATAATATAGTGAAGAAAAATGAAGTGCTTAAGATTGAGATGGAAGATATTACTTTAAGATATGAAGAAAAGGTAAAATGTCTACAGCAGCAGTTGAGTGAAAAAAATGACAGTCTGAAAGCTTTTGAGGAAAATGCTGAAGAAAAGTCCAGATCTGTTTTGGAGCTGCAGAAGTTATTAGTGGATATGCAGAACCAGCAGAAGGAGTTACAGACTAAACTGGAAGAGACTGAAGGGGAGAAACAGAAGCTATGCAAAGAGGTGAATAATCTTCAAAAAGACATACGTACTCTGCGAAAGGAACATCAGCAAGAGCTTGACATAGTAAAGAAGGAGTCATTAGAGGAAATGGAGGAAAAAATCAGGTAAATTCTTTGTTCCTGTCTGTGTTACCACTTCTGTATTTTATCTCTAGCCACTAAAACCTCAAGAATACTTTTCTAACGCTCAGTTTACAACAAGGAAATAATGACTGATGTTTTTCTTTAATTGTTCTAAATAGACTTCGAGAAACAGAAAGAAAATAGGTTTGACATTTGGCAGAGTAATACCATTTCTGATCTGCTTCAGTGCTGGTGATTTTCAACATTGCTGAAGCATATAATATAATTCTGTTTTTCTCAAACAGGAAATAAAGTTTATTAAACATAGTACTGAGAGCTTCATGTTCAGTTGATATCAATAGTTGTTCATACATACTACACAAAATGCCGTGTACTGCTTAGCACTTCCAATAGTTTCTCAAGCAATTCTAAAAATTCCCTAAAAATTCTTTTTATGACATAATCTTTTCTTCCAGTTCTTCAACTTCCTCAGCAAAAACTACATATCTTTGGAGGGCTTCAGTTCTGGGTTGTTTTTAAATGAAACACATACACCTACCAGGTGAATTAGATAGGAGAGGAAGATAAAGCCTCTGTGAATCTCTCACAATTCATATAATTCAAAACCATTCTCTTCTAAAATAATTCTCAAGAAATTCTCAGATCTCTTGCCTTGCCTTGTGTTTTCACACCCTCTTTAAATGTTATATTTCCTTGCTGTATGTTTTGACCTTTTTTTACAGATGTGAACAAGAAGACATTGAGTTAAAGCACAACTCCACCTTAAAGCAGTTAATAAGAGAATTCAATACTCAGCTGGCTCAAAAAGAGAGAGAATTGGAAACAGCAGTAAAAGAGACAATCAGTAAGTGCAATAGAAATATAACTGTAATCAATAGTCAGAGAACTGAATCTTCATTTATTGCTGTTTTGGGGGAGGGATTTACCTGTGCCTGTGATAAACACAACATGTGTTTTCTGAATGTCTAGAGAACTTAGGGAAATAACTTGTCTTGCTCAGGAAATAACATAAATATTAATTATAGTACAATTAGGAAAATGCATATGTAGCTGTTCTGCAGGATGGATCTTTGGTCTAGCACTCTTTACGTCTGCCATGGCATGAAAGCCATATGCACCCATCTTTCTGTCATATGTATAAAAGAAAAGAAAATGAGTGTAAAATTTTAAAGATGAAAGTGCATTGGTAAGTTTCCATTGCAGTGCTACTTTATCTCCAGTAGTAAAAACTTCAGCATTCCAGTGATGAATATATGACACTTGGAGAGAAACTCACTCAGCCTTTAGAGAAACTTAGATCCATGTGAGAATCAGAATTGTGTTTTCTTAACTGGATCTTGCAGACTTCGTTCACTAACTGCTGACAGGTACCAACTGGGTATGATGTCTGATTGTAACACAATGGGATTATAGCTAGAGTTCAACAGATTTTGTCTTCTCAGTCTTTTGCCACCATAGTGTAAATTGGAGATTAGAAAAGTGAGAAAAAGGTGTGGTTTGATTCCAGTTACTAGAAGTACACCTACAAGTGAGGAGTTTCTGAAGATTGCGAAAGCTTCAGTTACATCTCTAGATAGAATAGGAGATAAAATTAGTTAATAAATATTGGTTGTCATCTTCTAGAAACTAGTTCCACACCAGATAGAAAAAATTGCTCCAGGTTCCAAACTGCAAACAACAAATTTCGTACATGTTAGGATCAAGGGACATAATAGTAACTGATAGTGTGGAAAAATGAATTTTCCTGGCAAATTTTCCTTATAGTTACTTCAAAGCATTTTTTAAATGTAGTAAATCCTATACTTACTTTTCCAGAATAAGTGTATCATTATAATTTGTATTCCTGAGATTTTTATATAGAATTAAATTTCCATCAGCAGTTCTGGACTTGTTATCAGTTATGACATAATTTAAAAAAGAAACAAAATCAAAACCATGCGTTTTTTAATACTGCCTAACTTTTTTTTGTAGGTAAAGCCCAGGAGGTAGAAAATGAATTGATAGAAAATCATCACATAGAGACAACACAGTTGCATAAAAAAATTGTTGAAAAAGATGATGATCTAAGAAGAACTGTGAAAAAATATGAAGAAATCCTTGAGGTACCTTTTTGAAAAGTGATGACTACGTAAATTTCAAAATTACTCTTTTTCGGTTGCATATCTAGATAGAAAAATTGTAGTTCTTTCTAGTAAAGGTCTTACTGCTAGAATTACACTTGAAATGTGTGGTGATCCAGCTTGCAATTAAAATATTTGTTTCTGTAATTTATGAGCACGAAAGCACATCAGAAATTAGCACCAACTTTGATCATTCAATAAAAATTAGATGGCTAAGTCCTTATCTCTTTAAGCAGTTTGTGTACCAGACTGAGAAAACTGAGTGACATTTAAGCTTTTAGTAGAATTGTGGTGGTGGTGGTGGATTGTTTTTTATAAATACAGTGTTTATGGTGCAGTCTCACTCTCTATTGCCTTCCTCTGATGCCCTGCTGAGATTGATGCCACAGCCCTTAAAGTAAGGTTCTGTTCCATGCAGGGTGCAGTGTGTTTGCATAGTTTTTTGCTAGTAAAGATTCAGTTTTTTTCCTTGTAATTAACAGTTTTTCTGCATGATATTTGCAGATAGACATACCTATTCTCTAATAGCATTTCAACCAGAAGTTACCAGCCAATTTCAGTTTAAGTAGACTTCACCAAGGATGCCTCTTGTTTTAGCCAAGTAAATTTTCTCAGTCCTGCCTGTACGTGTCAAAAACATTAAATGGTTTTCAGTGCTAGACTGTACATCGTATTAGAAGACAGGCTTAAACTTTGTTAATCTTAGTCCTCTTTGCACAAATAGTGTAATGAAAGAGACAAAAAAGTTAAAAAAAAATCTGCAAAAGCCAAAACAACAACCATCACTATCCCTTAATATGCCAGGTATTGAGGATTTTTAAACTGGGGAGTATAACCTTCTATAAAAAAGCAAAAAGTTTCGTAGAAATTATTAATTGTTGATGCACTTCTGAGGGCATAGAAAAATCATGGGAGTGAATAGAAGTTAACATTGTTTGGAGGTCATGATGTTTGAGCAAGGTTTAATTTGAGCATGGATATTTTTTAAACTTTGAGGCTGTAAAAATTGCTCAGATACTGCATCATATTGCTCAGATACTGCATTGTACCCATTACTTGTGGTAGATTTGCTTAATTTCTTTTTGGTGATGCATTCTGGACTGAGGGGCTGCATGGGAAAGGTGTTTTATTCTTAACTCGTGCAAGGAACACTTTAAAAATTGATCTTAGATGGAAGTATTTATTTTATTAGTAATGGCGTACCATCTTTTAAGCCTAGATCAGCTTTCTAGTCCTACACTTACTTTTCCAGAGCATATTCTTTATCATTATAATTTATACTACTGAGATTTTTAAATAGAACAAAATTTCCATCAGCAGTTCTGGACTTGTTATCAGTTAATTAATTGTACTAATTTGACTTGAAGTACTACTGTGTTAGTAGAGCCATCAACTGACTGACTGCCGTGTACGGTTAGCATGAGCGAAACTAGAGTTTTAGTTTTGCTCAGCAATGGAGATATGCACTAGGACTTGGAGTGCTGTTTTATAAGGTCCTTAACATATTCTCTCACAAAAAGGCCAGACAGGACACAAGTTTTAAAAATACTTGTTTTTGCAAAGTGCCATATAGATGGATTAACTTCCTAGGATTTAGGTCATTGTATTTTTCTCTTATGCAGGAAGAGTTAATTTCCTCCCTACCATTCTTGTTACTGCTTCTTTCCTCTACAGTGAATACTGCCTTTCAAACCCTTGAGAATGGGAAATTGTTGGTCATTGTTTTGGAAAATGTGCTTAAAACTGCTTTCGTAGCATCTTTGTGAGAGTGGCTGAGGAAAAGATTTAGGTCCTTGTCACTTTCATAATATAGAAATTAATTTTGTGTTGTCATCTACTCCTTCCTTGAAGGTAATGACCTTCATGCACTTTCTGGATTATACCCGAATACTGTTTTAATGCCCAAGAGAAATAGATATTTTTTGGAATTTAAAGAATGTAACTCTAATCCTAACTATGTAATCTTTATTGTTGGAGGCCTACAAAATCTTCTTAAGCACCAATTATTTTTCTTGGTCTTTTCTGTAGGAGTCTGGTGTAACTAGCTTTTACACAAATATCAAGCATATCCTTTCTGTGTATAGTATAACATTTGTTGATTGTTTTATGTTCACCATAGTTAAAGTTTTGAATAGTTAAATGATTCATTGTGTAAGTAATTTTTTGCTTGTATTTTGAAGTCTCGTGAAGAAGAGATGACAGCAAAAGTTCATGAGTTGCAGGCACAGCTGGAAGACTTGCAGAAGGAATACAAACAAAGGATTGCAGAAGAGGAACATTGCAACAGTGAAAAAGTGAGCTGGCACTGACATTTGTTTTTATATCTCTAAGTGTGAAATTCTTGGTCCATTGGAAATTCTGTAGTTTATTCCTAATTAGACTTTATTTATGTATCTGGCCTTCACTTTCCCATACAAAATGAATCTCTTTAGAAACTGCAATATTTGGTACAACCTTTTTGATTGGTATGTTGAAAAGTGCAGTTCTGTTGTTATTATTAAGGTTGAGTTTTTTTGTCCTCTACATGTGTTTATGTTGGTTTTACTGGAAGCCCTTTAGAAGGAAAGAAAATCCCATGAAGTCATTCTTAGAGTGATTTTTTAAAAATCCGCATTTCAGAGGTGTCTGAAGTAGTGCCTTGAATATATCAATTACGGATATAGAGGCCTTAATTGAAAGAAGACTGCCTTCATTCTTTTGTCTTTCCAAGATTACATTTTAATTTGAAGAATTCTTTGGTGAAAATACTACTAGCTGTTATTATACTGAGGAGAGAAAAAGTGTACAAGTTGTTGAGTGATTGATGAGAATTCATATTGACCTTACTTTTAATATTTTCATTTTTACAACAGGTAGCCCTGGGGAGAGTAAATTTATATATTTGACATTAGAAACTGAAAGTACAAATTATCTCACTGACCTAGTGTTTGTTACTTCTGCCTTGCACTTGCATACAAAACACTTTATAATACTTTTCCATGGTATGAGTTGTTTTCATAATAGGAAAAGCAGAAATCTAAGATTGCCTTGTATTCTTAATTAACCCTTGTTCACCTACTGATAGTCTTACATAATCTTATTATCTAGAGGAAGATTCTTAAAGAGACTCCTAACTTCTAAAACATGATTATGAAAAGTCTGAAGAGTACTTATTCTTTAGGACTTCTTTGTTAACTGTTTCACTCCTAGTTTGTTATAGCAGTCTGCTATAAATATAGGGAATCATTAAATATTGTATTATACATTCATCTTATGGATTAATGATATGACATTATATCAAATTTATATACTGGCAATGGTATTTCATGTATTCAGCTCAGAAGCAATGCACCCAACAAGGAGTAAATCACCAGGAGGCCTCCTCCATGGATGAATGGGAGCTGCTGGACCTGCTGAGCAAACTCAGAATAAAAAAAGAAAAGCAGCTTTTAGGAAGTGGAAATGAAGACAGGTGGCCTGACAGTAATACAGGGAAATTGTACAGGAAGCTAGGGACAAAGTTAGGGAAGCCAAAGCCCAGTTAGGATTGTTGTAGCCAGGGAAAGTAAGGCAAACAGGAAGGGCTTCTATATGTACGTTGTAGACAAAAGAAAGACTAGGAATAATGTGGGCCCTCTTTGTAAGAAAATGGGAAACCTGGCTACCCTGGACAAAGAGTAGGCAGGGGTTCTCAACAGCTTCTGTGCCACTGACTTCCATGGCAAGACTAAATGCAAAGCATTTCACTCTTCTGTGTGACATCCTTGTCTGCAGATTGGAGAGAGAGGGATTTGATGGATGCACCATCATGTGGATACAGAACTGGCTGGATGGCCACATGCACAGGGTTTGGGTTAATGGCTCATTGTCCACATGGACACCAGTTACATGGAGAGGTTGCATCAGTAGGATGCAGTAAACAGAGTAGGATAATCCTACGCAGTAAACAGAGTAGGATAATCACCTCTTTTGACTGATGATGCTGTGTTTGATGCAGTCATGGGGTCAGTATTAGCTGGGGCTGATACTACTCAGTATCTTTGTCAGTGACAGATAGTGAAACCTGTCAGTGCTGAGTGCACCCTCAGCACATTTGTTGAAAACACCAAGCTCTGTGGTGGTGCAGTCAACGCGATGGAGCGAAAGGGTAATACCATCCTGAGCGATCTCAGTAGGCTTGAGATATGGGCTGAAGCAAACCTCATGAAGTTCCACACAGCAAGGTGCAAGGTCCTGCACCTGGGTCGCTGCAATCCCAGACACACCAATGGCTTGGGCAGAGAAATGATTGAGAGCAACCCTGGTAAGAAAGACCTGAGAGTTACAGGTGATGAAAAACTCAACATGAGCCAGCTGTGTGTGCTCACAGCTCAGAAAGCCATTCAAGTCCTGGGCTACATCACAAGGAGCATGGCCAGGAGGTCCCCTTGGAGTACTGTGAACAATTCTAGTGTCCCCAGCATAAGAAGGACATGGAACTGTTGGAGCAAGTCCAGAGGAGGACCATGAAGTTTGTAAGAGGACTGGAGCACCTTCCCTGTGAACACAGACTGAGAAAGCTGAGGCTGTTTAGCCTGGAGAAGAGAAGGTTGAATGGAGACCTCATGGCAAACTTCTAGTATCTGAAGGGGGTCTACAGGGAAGCTGAAGAGGGACTTTTTTTTTATCAGGAACTGTAGTGAAAGGGCAAGGAATAAAGGATGTAACTTGAAAGAGGGGATGTTTAGAGTAGATGTTAGGAAGGAATTTTTGAGGGTGGTGAGGCTGAACAGGTTATGCAGGGATGTTGTGGATACCCCAACCCTGACAGTGTTCAATGTCAGGTTTTATAAGGCCTTGTGCAACCTGGTGTACTGGGAGGTGTCCCTGCCCATGGCAAGGAATGTTGAGACTTGATTATCTTTTAAGTCCATTCTAACCTGTTAGCATTCTATGATTCCTCAGTTGTTCCCAGAAATGTATCAGACAGATGGGCAATGACTTGTAAAGTATTTGAATATTGCCAATACTAAATGTCTAAAAGTGAAGATGTTTACAATTTAAAAAATGAACATTTAATTTTGCCTGTGTCTGGAATGTCATCCACAGCTCTCTACTTGGAGTTTCCATGGCAGACTCAAAGGAGTTCTCCAGGGTATAAGTGGGTACAAACCAGTTCAGAGAACTCCAGCACTGATAACCAGCTTAGTTTTAAAGGATAAAGATGGTTTCATTTGTGGGGGAAAATGAGCAAGTTGTGTAGTAGCGCCGGTACTTAGATACAGTTAAAGCATGCAGGTTCAAAGTAGTTGCAGAATAAGAATGCAGGTTTGTTGTTTGTTTTTTTCCCCGAGTGTATAGATGTGATTTCTCTAGAATACAGGCATCAGACTTTTTTGAGTAATTTTGAGAATTCCAACTAAATTCAAATTTAGCAAATTGCTCACCAGATTTCTTTTGCATAGCTGATTCAACTAAATGTAAATATGTAAATGCCTTATTTGATACGATTAACAATGGTGATTTCATCATCTCAAATCAATGGAACTAGTCTAATAGATTGTGCTATGGAATTTGCACATAATTCCTGGTATATCTTCTGATCCAGTCAAAGCTCAAATATTTAGAGTAATGTAAGTGGGCTTTCAGTTCCTGTTTTATCAGTATTTCAGGATTTAATTCTTATTCTGACACAATCTGTTCTGGGGTTGACAAGTAGTTTTCTTTTGTCCTACTTAGAAATTGGGTTGTTTTTAATTTTTATTCCTGTCTCAGTTTGTGTTTTGCCTGTGCTTGGTATGTTTGTAGGAAACTAATTTTGCTTTAACCTGGTTCAATAGTACATATTTGCAATGGCTACAATAGCATATATGGGCAGCATTACAGAGCTATATGAGAAGATTAGACAGGGCCTGTGGAACTTGTCAACATACCCGAACAAAACTGTATAAATCCACATCTGGATTTTACAGTGCATTCAAATTAATCATATTTGTCATTGTATTTTTTGTCTCACTTGATTTCTTTTTTATTTTGCTGCTTTGCAACATTTTGGGTTAGTTTTTTTTTTTTACCCTTCAGCACTAGTAGTCAAACAGTTTGAAGTCTTCCATTGACTGGATGCAACTTTTTGTGGGCCACATATTTTGTCTAAAATCAGAGACTCCCAAATCACAAAAGTTTTCCATTAAATTTTCTGTGCTGCTTGTTGTCAGCCTAGACCAAACATTACACATAACATATCCACTTTGACATGAAGTGTACCCTAGATAATAGTACTTGTCTGTGATAAAAAATTAACAAATACTAGCAACCTTAAGTATTAATGTTTGGAGGTAAAAATGTCAGAAAATGTCTCTCCATATCAGAAAATAAATGTCTGATTGAGGTTTTCAGAAGCAAGAATTTAACTTAGAGGTTTGAGATCCTTAGAGGAATGAGTTTCCCCTATTTTCTGTCTGTAGGAGACCCCACAGATTTTTATCAACCTGAGATAGGGAATAAATTTCCTTTTCCACACAACTGCATATGTTCACATTTCCAAATGAGACTTAAGGAAAGACATAAAATATTCTGAATAGTATTAATTGTAGTTAGGGCATCCTGTGATGTACTTCATACACGTTCAATTATTATTCATCTCCAATATGCATTTCATAAAAATTTGGAAACTAGGTTCTTTAAGTTACATTTACAATGATTGTCTTACAGAATCAAATGAGATAATTTAAGTATCAGCTTTATGTATTGTCAATACCAATAAGTTAAACTATTTATAAGACTAGTTGTTATTTTTGGGTAATTTCAATTTTTGTCATCCTCAATTAATACACTGTATAAGAACTCAATTATTGATATTTCTTTCTCCAGTGCTTGATATAGTCAGTATTTTTCATACATTTTAATCTAAATTTTTATTTTTGTTATAGGTCACAATAACAGAACTAAAGGTACGTTTTACATGTTATTGATTTTTCTCTCTAATACTTTGGTTGTGGAGCAATTTTAAAGCTGAAATACTGCTTGTAAGTTTGTGTGTGTTAAAAGGAGAAATAGGTTTATTGCAAAACCTATGATGTATTTGCAGCAATTTCCAGACATGACTGTCTTTTCAGGCACAACTTGCACAGAAGACAACACTAGTCAATGATTCAAAACTGAAGGAGCAGGAATTGAAAGAGCAGGTAAGGGTCATGTTGAATGAGTAAGAAGTATTCTTGTTTGATACTTGGAGTTTGCAGTATTAAAAGGTTTGTTCTTTTCAAGTGATGATGTGGTACATCTCCATACAAGGTACTATGAATATAATAGACAAAAAAATAGTTTTCACTCATACTTGCTCTCTGAAGATCTGTGTACTTTTCAAAGTATTCCTCTATCCCCTGAGAATAAAAAAAACCACATGCTCGTGATACTGGTTAGCAAAGAATTGCACAGTGAAAAAGGGAACAGTGCACTTTATTAAATTCTTGAATTTTTTTTCAAAACTAAACCTTTTTTGGTGTTTAAGTATAATTTTTGTTGTAAGCTTTTTTATCTATAAAAAAGATATATATGCTTATATATAAAATGAATACATAAATATATAATATATGCATAACATCTGCTATATATATTTTTATGTGTATATGCAGATGTACAACATTGGGACAGTCTTTAATAACACAGTTTTTAATGTTTTCCTTCCTTAAAAAGCAAATGTATTTTGCTTTTATAAGAGATGATGGAAACTGGAAACTGGAAACTGTTTCAGTTATGCTTGTTTTAGCTGCTGTTTAGGTTTAAAGCTATTTATCACGTCAACTGTTTTCTATTCAGATTCATGTACTGGAAGACCGGCTGAAACATTATGAGAAAAATATGTATGTCACATCAGCTCGAACACCATATAGAGGTAAGTACTCAGTTTTCATCACAAATAAGTTTTTTGTTTGTTAGAAAGATACAGTTTGGTCTAGAAAATAAAACATTTTTTTTAAAACACTTACATAATGCACTTAGGACATCCTTGTTTTCTCTTGTCTATTATAGTAGAGTTGGCGTGTGATTTCAGATGACCAAATTTTTTTGGTCAAACGTTTTGTTAGATGTTTTCTTTTTTATGTCATCCAATTAAAAGAGCTCTGTATCAGAGTTCTTAAGCTCTCTTCAGTACAGGACCCAAGAGCATCCAGTAGACAGGGGCAGAGATGGGCACACCTACAGCAGGGCACAGGTGGGGACAGAAGGTCCCAGGCTGAGCTGGGACACATCCCTTGGGCCCTTGGCAGGAGACACTGGGGGTCCCAGGAGGCTGGTCCCAGACCCCCAAGGCCTGTGAGCAGCCCCAGAACCCAGACAGAAGTAGACTTGTGCTGTTCATGTGCTGTCCTTTAGACACTGGTGGTTGGACACTTTGGAGATAGAGTATGGGCTTACGGACCTTCTCTCTGGTGGTATACTGTTCCTCTAAGACTCTTTTAATGTAAAATTAATTAAGAAAAATGCACAGGGAAATGAACAGATATTGCTTACCTCCAAAAGATTTGCAGCTGTTTAGTTGAGGAGTATGTACTACATGAGACAGAGGGCTCAGGTGCTGAGCATGCTAATGTTAAGTGATGTGGGGTTTTGCCATCCTGTGCAGACCCATCTTAGCTGGATGAACTCAGAAGACTTTTAAAAATCACGTCACACTTGCTTTTTGCAAATTTGTGCAAATGGTCAAATTATCTCAGGATGATCTGCATCTCTTATCCCCTCAGAAGGTCCATGCCTCCTTCCCTCAAGGTGATTGAGCCAATGATGGGAGATGTTTGTGGGTATTTAGTGCTTTCTGGTAGTGCAGGGCTGGGAAGAAATGTGATCAAGCATTTCCTCAGTATGTACTGATAGGGAGAGGAGCAGGAAACATACTTCATCTAGAAGGGACCAACATCAGTTTCATAGTCCAGCTGTGTGACAACTTCAGGGCTGATGGAAAGGTAAAATATGTCTTTAAGGGCATTGTCCAAATGCCTCTTTGACACTGATAAACAAGCATCAACCACCTCTCCAAGAGGTCTGTTGCAGAGTTTGACACCCTTTTGGTAAAGAAATGTTTCCTCTCATCAAGTCTGAGCTCCCCATGATAGATGAACCATTTTCCATGTGTCCTGGCCCTGGGTACCAGGGAGAGGAGAAGGCAGTACCTGCCTATCAACATCTCAGGAAGCTGTAGAGAGCACTGAGGTCACCCCTTAGCCTCCATCTCTCCAAATTAGACAAACCCAGTCTCCTCAGCTGCTTCTCAGAGGACATGCCTGTCAGCACCTTATCCAGAGGTACCCTCTGGGTGTGTTCATGTACCTTCCCATTCTTTCTAAATGGTGGGGCCCTGAACAGCACACAGTACTCAAGGTGAGGCTGCACCAATGCTAAATAGAATGGGATAATCACCTCTTTTGACCGACTGATGATGCTGTGTTTGATGCACTCCAGGATGAGGTTTGCCCTCTTGGCTGCCAAGGGCACATACACTGGTGACTCCTGTTGCACCTCCTGCCAACCAGCACCCCCAAATGCCTTTCTGAAGGGCTGCAGTTACTCCATCTAAGGTGCAGAATACAGCATTTGTTCTTGTTTGGTTTTGTGCCGTTACTGAAACTTGGATTTGGATGAATGACTCTCAGAATAAATATTCTCTTTTTGTTTACACAGATGGAAACCTTCACCATACTGACGTTTCCCTATTTGAGGAACCCACTGAGTTTGAATACTTGAGGAAAGTGCTCTTTGAATATATGATGGGTCGTGAGACAAAGGTATGGAAATTTGTATATGCTGACAGGTGATCTTGCTGTATGATGTGAACTATCATGTGTTTGTGATTTGTTATATGCTGTTTATTTCTAACAATAAAGTATTCAATAGGCTTTCACATTTTTTTTCCCAAAGAGACATGATTCATAACTTCAAGACTTCATCAGCCTGCCAAGATGAGTGGTAGGTGGAGGGAGTTTTCACATCTCTCACCACTGTACCTATCAAGACAAAAACCATTATAGGTAGATACAGTTTTATCAGTAAAAGTCTGTCAGTCAAACTTTATGTAAAATGAAAGCTGGTATGCCGAATATAAGCAAAAATGATCTTTTGATGTAGTCTTGACACAGACATGGTAAGTTACAGTTGGATTAAATAACAATTTGTGAGTAGCTGTGTTATCAGCTGAAGATGGTGAAACACCTCTAGTAGTTGCTTAAAGATGTTTCATAGTATTCCCAAATCTGTATACCTTAGTTGTTATTAATTCAATCTTAAAAGTAGTGAAAAGCTCGACAGTAGGCTTCTTGATTTCATATGCTGGTTTCCTTTCATTCATTAGATGTGTTTCTGGAGGACACTGAGCTTAGTGTTTGCTCTCTTCAGGATTATCTCACATAATCATAAATCTATGGATATGTCTTAAGAACTGGTTTCATCCTGCTACATGAAGTGGAAAACCATGAGCAGTGATGATGCAAATGATAGAACTTTTTAAAACAGTTTTAAGTATGCCTGTAAAGTATTACTGTGGTTTCCACCACTGCCCCCAACACAGTTCTTAAGTTAAAAGATCTGTAAATTTATCTTCTCAGTGCAGATGTTCCTCCTGTCAACTTTTTTGTTCCTGGACAAGAAGAGGCATTTTTTAAATATAATTCTGCCTTGTAAGGTCATTTTGGTGGCCCTTCTCTGTGCATGATCCCCTTTATTAGCGCAAATATGTGTCCCTTGTCTCAAAGGTGATTCAGTAGTGGAATTGTTATATCTCTGGACATGCTTCCTCTTTTTTGAACAGAGTTCAAAAGAATCTGTGCAAATTATCTAGGATGTATTGCCAATTACGCATCCTAGTAAATGATACTGGAATGCAATCAAGACATTAATGAATGCACTGGTTTGTCTACAGTATTGGAGACATAAGAGAAATGTGGAGGTTGATGCGGATCTAAGAGTCAGGAATTAGTGACTGTTACTGTGGGTAATTAACCACATTCTTTGTAAACTGCTTTACCAAGGTATGTGTGTGTATTTGCTGAGAGGTTTTACTGTCTTGCCCTCCAATCCAACTTTATTATTTGCCTCTTGCTCGGCAGGATATCTGCAACAAGATTGACAGATTGCTTTTTCTAGGCATGCACTTTATCTAGTATGCTGTCTCATTAATGGACTCCATCATTTGAGCATAGATGCCATAGAACTTAAATCACACTACAGCAGCTGAAGTTTGTGATAATGTGCAAAAATTGTTTTCATGTAATTCACATCATGCATATACAATGTGAAACAAATAGTTATATCTTACTGACTTCACTGTTTTCCATTGACATTAATAAAATAGTATCCAGTATTACTAAATTAAATTAATTTTAAAATATTACGGACATCTTTGTGGATGTGGAATTATGTATGGATAACCTATATCTCTTTAGACGATGGCCAAGGTTATAACAACAGTGCTGAAGTTCCCAGCAGATCAGACTCAGAAGATACTAGAACGAGAAGATGCTCGACCAGTGGTAAGTAAATCAATTTTATGCAAGAGGAGTAGGTTTCAAGAATAAGGAATTAGAAAATTTTTATGTCTTCTTTTCTTGTGTGTCCACATTCAAGTGGACTCCTTTTCTCCTTCCTTCACTTTTCTTCAGTGGAATATCAAATTCCAACTCTAGGTTTGAATTTATAGCAAGAGTGAGAAAAAAAGCAAGCATGTTTTCTTTACTAGTATTTTTTCTCAGTTAAGACATATTTCTGATAGCAATGGATACAATAGGACCAAAGCAAGTTCAAGCATCACTACTATTCTGTGGATGAATTTTCTAAATTAAAGAAGTAATCTGACATATCAAATATATATATGTCTGTATAAATATGTGTAATATATTAAAATTAATGCTTCCTAAATTGAGAAGTTTTTGTGGAGTCATACCAGTCTTTATGAAAAATATATCAAGAAACATTATCAGCCCTGAGATAAAATTTCTGGCAAAAATAACAGGCATTTTGCTTGTAGAATAGAAAGTTGATTATCTCAATCACCTGAGATATGTGTTTGGAGTACAATGTGTACAATTTTATCTTAAGTGGGTATCCTGACAAGCTTGGGGTTTTGATTAGGTTTTGAGGGTTTTTGTGTGATCCTGTTAAAATTTTTTGTATTGAAAAAACACGAAAATATGTTAGTTTTCTCTGGGTTTTTTTGGTGTTGGGTTTTTTTTTCCTTTTTTGGGTTTGGGTGTTGGGTTTTTTCCCTTTTTGGGTTTTTTCCCTTTTTTGGGTTTGGTGTTGGGTTTTTTTCCCTTTTTTTTTGACATTTGCTTAGTATTTAGTAGTTGACCTATTTACTAGAAAGGTGAAATTTGCTTTGGGAAACAGATAAGGAGGTAAAATTATTTGAGCATAAGCATTTCTTTGATATTACTTTTACTGTTTTATGTATAGGAGCTACTTTTAATTAAAATAAAAACAGCAGTAATAGTCTCCTCTACATTGTATTTGGAATCAACACTGTGAACCCTCTCTTTGTGGGTTAGTGAAATATTTAGGAATTCAAGTGAGAGGAAGAATTGCATTCTGTTTCTCTCACTGACCTTGCATATATATTTATTTCATACTTGCAAATATAGAATAAAATAAAAATATTAATAATTTTATTTCACTTCTAGATACATTAAAGTCCTGTTGATTCACTAAAAATTTTTTAAAAGTCTGTACTTTCATCTTGAAATATCACATTTGAGGAAAATGTTAAATAATTTAACATTTTCCGGTACACTTAGTATGTTTGAGAGCCTTGCAATCTTAAATATTTTAAATACTTTTAGAAGATAAAAAATATTGATTATACTGCAGCTCCAGTAAGTATCATGTATTCAAAGCATTATTTTCTCTCTCTGACATTAAAATAGAAAGCTGAGAATGTTTTGTTTTGTTTTGTTGTGTTTTGTTTTTTCTTTTGTTTTGATAAGCCAGAGTAATATTTAGGAAAGATTTTGAGAAAAGAGAGATGGGCCTTGTTTTGCAGCCACTTCAGCTTTTTGATATTTAAACCTGTTCTTTCTACAACAGACATTTACAACTTCTGATACAAAATAAAAATTTAACTTGAATTCATCCAACAAATTTTCATCCTTGGTATTAAATTTTGTCTAAAACACACAGTGAGATTTTTTTGTACACTACAAGTGCTTTGATTTGTTAATTATATTTTTGTTCAAAGAGCTCTTGGGTTTCACATAGCAGTCCCTTCTTGGCTCATATGTGGCCTATGAATTCTCTCCTTTCCAAATCCACAAAGAGACTGAGTTACACATCTAATGGAAACTCAAATATTAGGGCATATTATGAAGGAAGAAGTATTTTTTTCCTTTACTTTTAACATTATATGTTTGTTTGCTGAAGTACAAATTATTCTGGGGATGAGTCTTCCATAATTCTGTTTAGAACTAAAAAGTTAGAGATGTCTTTATAAATTACACTATCAAGAAATATGCTTGGTTTCTTTTAGTTTTTATTTATTGACTGACATGCCACTAGTGTTTCTCCATACTTAAGACTGGACTGATACCAGTGTATGAAAATATCCAGTGTTTAGCTCTCAGGAGCAATGAAGTTCTGAACTACAGCATAAACGTGCATTTTAACATAGAGCTTTTAGTTTATTGCTAAAGCATCTGTAAGTAATTTTGATGTGTAAATTATTAACTTACTGTGCTACTAGAGTAAGTGTCGTACTAAAGTATCTGTGAGTAATTTTATACCCTCTTAGTGAGCATATATTTAACAAGTTTCTGAAAACTTGTAGCAGTTCCTGGTTAATAAATATATGCTAGATCAATGTAATCTTCAGTAATCTGGTTTTTACTGTGTTGGTGTTGTGATCTAACTGCAGCAATCTCATCCATAGATGTCCACAGAGTTCTTATTTGTTAACACTACTTAACGCTATCAGTCAAATAGTCCAATAAGCTCTTTTCTTCCTGGCTTTGTAGTTTGCCTCACCTCGCAGTGGTATCTTTTGAATATGCCACCAGTCTGTGCTTAGCTAGCGTGTGGGTGAGTGAAGTATAATACATTCTTGTTTTATGTAAAATGAAATCTGTATTATGCAATTAAAGGTTCTTCTGCTTTTTTTTCTTGCCTGCTTTCCTTCATTAAAGAACAAATTTTGGTTGTATATGCGTATGATAATTTTTGTTTTCCTCCTAATCATGTCTTGTTTTACAAAGCTGAGTTTGAAAATGGTAAATACTGATTCAAAACCGATATTTTTGAGTGATCCTAATCATAAGTACAATTTCAAATGTTGATTGAGCCACAAAAATCTTAGTAGTAGAAATAAAATCAGATTTTAAATCAATTAATATGTAATATTGAATTTTATTGCACTTGGCTTTGTTTTGTGTTTATTCATTTTTTAAGTTCCTTTTTTGAATAAGCAAACAAATCAGATTTGTGGGAGACATACTGTACTGCTTGAAATGAATTATTACACCTTGTAAATATGAAAATGCATTATCTTTAAAAAGATGAATATTCTCTGCAGAGGGATTAGGATATAATTGGGTTTAAACATTAGTACCTTTCTGAATCACAGCTTTGGTTTGATAACAAGAGATGCTAAAGCAGAAAGATGGTGGAGAACAATTAGGGGAGCTTTATGCTCTTAGTTTGTGTCTTTCTTCAAGTTTTGTTATTCTACTTCAATTATGAATCTCCAATGCTAGTTGTAGCATTACAAGAATGGAAGAGCTGACGTAGGCCTGAAGATGCAAGTTGCATCAGACTAGCTAAACAAGTAACACACATGCATTAGCTGGTTGTGAGAGGACTGAGCTATGGAGCAACACAGGAAAAAACTTCCTGCAGTGGCTGATAAAGATTATGATTTGAATCCCTAGTGGTGTATGATACTTAATAAAATCTGCAGATGAATTCTATAGAATATGGTCAGTTCAACTTTTTTTCCCTCCTTTGCAACTGGAAAGCTTTGCACAGTTGCCAGGAGTTGATTCAGTGCAAGTGAAGCAGTTGCCGTCTCTTGGATGAAATGCATTTGTTGGCTTCCATCACTGTCAGAGCAAAATTAATTAACTTAGGCTATTGCCATTGCCATTTACCATTTTCCACATTGCAGTTGGCAGGTTATCTTCCTCTCCTGCTGTCATGCGAACACAGCCTTCAACACAAAATAATACCTCTTTAAAAGGAAAAAAAATTGTTTCTCTAACAGTCATGTTTTCTGCTTTGTGTTTTTTCCATCTTTGAATAAAATAGTGAATGTACTTTATTGCCCCTAAAATGCAGTAGAGTTTGGACTGTTTGCCAACATCCTTCATCAGTTCTGACAAAATCAGTAACTGTTATCTCTATCCCTTTGTTGAAAAGAATTGAATTGTAGATACTGATGGAACAAAACTATTTGCAACACTATAGCAGAATAGGTTTCAGAAGATATGTTTGAAACTTATATTCTTGTCATGCTGTCAGTGTAAAAAAATGCAGGCATTCTGAGCTGCCTTTGAAACATTGTTGATACTGATCTTACTGTGAGAAATTATTGGTTGCACTTTCATAACCTCAGCTAATGTGTATGTAAACTGTTCATACTTCATTATTAGATTGTAGTTGCCAACTTAATCTCAAGTATTTTTGTCACATACTGTTGCATGTATATAACTTAGAAATTAAGGGGGATGCTGACTTCATTGTGAAGGCAGTTGTAGAGGAGGCTGTGTGCTGGATCCAAAATTCTGCATCATCATTTCAGTTTTGATGATAAGCCTTATGCAAGAGAGTCCAAATTTTTTTTGTTTGGATTAATATGCAGTGATGTGGTAGACTATTTCCAGTGAGACTGCTGACCATTTTGCTACACCTTGTTTTGTTTTCATCAGTTTCTCAACTGTTTTGCAGATATCGGAATGGAATTGCTTGCTCAAATAGTTTGGTAGTTGGCACTTATTGAAATTCTTCCATCTTCTGATTATATTAATAAACAATGCAATTATTTTAATATTTAGAGCTTCTAAGTTGTTCTCAATAATGTAACATTTGATTTCATTTCTTCTAGTTGTGGCTACGACCATCTTGAAGATTTTGTGATGGGAGTGTCTCATGACATTGCTGCTTAAAAATAAGTTTATATCTCTGCTGCCTCTTGAGAAGGGACAAGAAGAAAAGCTATTATTCAAGGTCACAAACAGAACAGCAAGAACCAAAACTCACCACCACCTTTGGACTGTGAATATAATCTACTGCCTTGGCAGAAATGCTAATCAGGGGTTATTTGGTTATTTCTCTTCTATTGAATACTGTCTTCTATTTTGTGTTAAAGGTTATTTTTTTAAAGGAGAGAAAAGACTTTATCATAGGAAAGAATTGCCTGCTACTGTATCTCTATACAGGTTTTAATGAGTGTTTTCTAAAGTTGAAATAAATGATTTGTTTCTTCTATTTATTTTTTTTTATTTTTGATTGAATTGTGCAATACATTTTGGATGGATAGCAATTGAAGTGATTTTTCTGATGAACTAGACACTCTTGTTGACTATTTTCTCCTGATTTGATCTTGATTGTTTGCTAGAAGGTCACTTCTATATGCTTTTGCCTACAATAAATCCAAATTGCAGTACCTCGTTTGTTTACTCCTAGCTTTTGTACTTATATTTTCTAAAGAAAAGGTGTGTTCCTGTAAATTGTAAATAGTTACTACATAACTATAACTGTATCATATGCTGATTTGTGACTGTTGACAGCACGAATATGAATAGAGCTGAGATGAAATAAAGTTTATTTACTGTATAATTTTGGAACAACTTTGGTATGATTTTTCTTTTTTTGTTTGTTTATGAACCAGTTTTGTTTGTACTCCTGTTGGAGCCATTGTTAACTGAGATATTTCCAGGCTGAAATCACTCTCATAAGAACAACTATTCAATTACATTAAACTGTTAGTCAGTGGAGACATTGAAGTTTCCAAGGGGTCACAACCTGAAAAACAGATATATGGTGGGCTGAAAAGCTAGCACGAGAATGCAGCAAATAGAGAAGCTTGATTTGTAAAAGTTCTGAATGATCATAGAATCACAGTCTGGTTTGGGTTTGAAGGGACCTTAAAGATCATCTAGTTCCAACCCTCCTGCCATGGGCAGGGATACCTCTCACTGCACCAGGTTGCTCGGAGCCCTCTCCAGCCTGGTCTAGGAATGGAGCATTTACAACTTTTATGGGCAACCTGTTCCAGTGCCTCACCATGCCCACAATAAAGAGTTTCTTCCTAACAGCTAATATAAATTTCTCCTCTTTCAGTTTAGAACCAAATCCCCTTTGTCCTGTCACTATCTGCCTGTGTAAAACCTTGTTCTCAAAGGCTGCCATGAGGTCGTCTGGCAACCTTTATTTCTCCAGATGAACAACCCCAACTCTCTCAGCCTGCCTTCATAGCAGAGCTGCTCCAGCCCACTGAGCATCTTTGTGGCCTACTCTGGACCCACTCCAAGAGATTCATGTTTTTTCTTGTGCTGAGCACCCCAGACCTGGGCACAGCACTGCAGGTGGGGTCTCATGAGAGAGTAGAAGGGGACAATCACCTACCTTGACCTGTTGCAAATCCTCTTGTGCTACAGCCTAGGATACCATTGGCCTTCTGGGCTGTGAGTGCACATTGCCAGGTCATGACCAGCTTTTCGTTCACCAGCACTTCCAAGTTGTTCTCCAGAGGACTGTTCTCAATGATTTCTTCTCCCAGTGTTCTCCTGGACTCATTGAAGTTGCTCCTGACCAATGCTGTAGGACTTTGCACTTGGATTTGTTAAATCTCATGAGGTTTTTATGGGCCCACTTTTCAGGTTTGTCCAGGTGCCCCTGCATGGCATCCCTTCCTTGTGCCACCTGCACCACTCAGCTTTATCAGCTGTTGCACTGTGTCCATCCAGCCGTTTCCTTGTCCACTGAACAGTCCACCCGTTGAACCTGTGTCTTTCCAATCTGGAGATAAGGATGTCACGAGAGACCATGTCAAAGGCTTTACAGATGTCTAGATAGATGACATTGGTTGGTCTTTGCAGTCATTCCATCATAGAAGTCCACCATGATGGAAAATTATGTATTTTTGTTCTTTTAAATGATTCCTGTCTGATGTTTTTGGCATGTAAGTTGTGATCCTCTGAAGTGATACACAGGTATGCATAAATTTAACCTCTAGCTAATATGACACCATATCAATAACTAACATTTGTCATGCATGTTAGTTTGCCAGGATAGTTCAAGGTGATCAGTCCTCCATGAATATAATTTTTAACAAGTATTTGAGGGGCAGCAGTCTGAATGAAACATGGTCCCCAGTTGTGGTATAACCAGAAACATTTATTAAAAGTGTATATAGCTTTTATAATATTTTCACTATCAGGTTAAAATAGTGTGAGCCTGGATAGCCAATAGTGTTTCTGTTCATATGTCTGCTAACCAGTGGTAAACATGATCAAGTCCCTAACAGTAACATCAGCCTTTTTCCCCTAAAACAAGTACTTGTGTAACAATTTCTTCTGCCAACCCCTGTACTTCTGCTACTTACATTTTAGAAACTTTGTTACATCTCTCCTGCCTTGACTGAATTGCATTCTTTGTTCTCTTATTACAAGTTCTCTTTGTTTCATTATTCCACAGCAGTCTAAGTTCCTCACCTCTGAATATAAGGGGTAGGATTTTTATTTTTTTAGTTGTTATTTAAGGTTTAAAGGGACACAGGTTGATTTTATAGTTAAGTACCAAGAGTTGCATCTTTATTTCCCACTGCCTCATGTCTGACAAAACTTGAAGTTTTATGCTTACTTATCATTACTAGCTTCTGGGAGGTTTAGGGGAAAGGGGCTAAACTTCGTCCTTTTACCAAACATCAAATTTGTTTTAAAGATCAATATTCTTTGTAAGTGTTTCCAATGTAAGTCCTTCTCTCTCCTTCTGTTGTGTAGGAGAAAGGCATCCTTCAGGCTGTGAGAGCAGCAACCTCAACTGGACTTGACATGAGTATGTTTGGCTCTGAAAAAGCCTATTCCTCTCATAGTTGGCTGAGGATTTGTGGGATTTTGGAATTATTATCATTACAGCAGTGTAAAACATAGATTTGAGTTTCAATTTTCTGTGTAAGCTGTCTGTTGTCTTAGGCTTTGGGAACTTCACTGCAGTCATCTATTACTTTGACAGCAAGTATTACTGTGCTCTCCTACAGTTCTCTTGTCCTCACAGATAAGTTATTTTTCACATTTTTTCCATGAAAGAAACTAGTTATGAACTGTACTTCGTCAAGTGTGACCTAAGTGCAGTGGAACAAACTGACATAGCCATACAACATTGCATGGACTAAATAATATTTTTCCCTTAAGTAACCTTAATAAAGAATTCAAAGGGGATTATAGAGTCATTGTTTTTTTAAAAACTAAAATCAGGTAACCACTACCCAAATTCACATTTTGAAAAAGTTAAATGTTTGGGTTGTTTTTTCACACACACATATATATATATTTCTTTAGGCTGAAGTTTTAACTGCTTCTAGATTTTCTTAAATGGTAATATGTAAATAAGACATTGCTTTGGATAAAGTTAGGGTGAACGCATGAAAGCAGGTGCTTTGTTTTAAGTAATGTTTTTTTCTTCATGTTAGAGTGTCAAATGGTGCTAGTAGTGCCAATCAAAGATTGGGCTGCCTTTTTAGCAAAGGTTAGAGGATGTTAAACTCATTCAGACATGACTGTTAGAAGATGCATCTGCAAGAGAATGTGTTTGGATCATCTCATATTGAACCATGCCTTAGTCTTATGTGCAATATATATGATATTTGTAATTTTATGAACTTATATACATGTGCCAGAAGATGTATAGATCTGTTTATAGAGATAAGACTTTAAATGGTTATCAAGCATCCTCTAGTGTTCTAAGGATTAAACATTGTTAATTTAGATTAAAAATACCAGGGATTTTATTCATGTATTATTTCACTGCCTAGGCTGATATTTATTTGCAACATACTATTTCAAACTTTTTAAAAAACATTATCTATAAATCCATCCAACTTCTAGTTCTGCCATTTATAGTACCTCTTTCTGTGATCTGTACTAAAATTTATTTATTCTCCCTTGTGGTATATGGCTCTTTCCTCTAAAATGAGGATTTCAGACTGTAAACTGGAATGACTACTGAGAAGTTTGGTTTGATTTTTGTAATTGAAACTCTTGCATAAATCCTATTGTTCTTCTATGTGTGCTACGGAAGATACTTCTTTTTCCCTCTGTAGAGTTTGTTACATTAAGAAACTTATTTTTCATTTGCTGTTTCAAGAAAAAACAGCTCTTTTGTGAAATCATTACAGCTTTGTTATGGCCATCAATATGAGCAGAAGCCTAGCAGCCTCTCAGCTATGTGAGGAATATCCAGACCAAGCAATGGTGTAGCTGTTCGTAGATGCTGGTTCTCAACAGCACTACCAGTGTGGGATTTTCAAACTCTCTTTGGTTGTGTATATTCATTACATGAAAAATTAGAAATGATAGAACAGAAGTAAGCAGTAAGTCGCATGTTCTTCTACATTGTCTCTATCCATGCTCTAGCAGTTGCTACCTTTTATTTTCTTTCTCAGGCTTTCATTTACACTGATTCTTGTGTTCCTCTGTTAACACTGAGTTAGTTTCCTGTATGCACTAGAGTAATTTCAAAGGCACATTGATTGACTTAAAGGAAGTACATCCCTGGAGATTTCTTTTGTTGTAGAACAGTGGCAGCCATTATTTCCTCCAGTTGCCACATGACATATCCGAGAAGAAATATTTAAGCTTATGGTAATTACATGTTATTTTATGGCTGTGCTAGCACATCATGGAACAGGAATGGATGGTAATGGAGCTAAGTGTAGTGCAGGACTCTGCTGTGACACATGGCTTGCATCTCTTGGTTGCAACTTTCAGAGCAATCCAGGTTACCTGGTGGCCATTAGGCAAATATTAGCTGTTTTCTAATTAGTTGAAAGTCACTTTGATTTAGCAGGTGACTTTTCAAAATGGAGATGAAGGCCTGTGTGGCTGTGGGGGCTGACCATGTCCCCCACACCTGTGTGGAGAGCATCATGGGTGTTGCTGCCAAAGCAGGTCTGTGTGCCTGTGGCTGAGACACCTCTGCCTGATTGTGTCAGGACAGCTTGCATGTCCAGCATTTCTGTAAGGGTTTAACTTTGCTTAAAGGAAAAGGAATGAACAGAGTGTATTGTCAGTTACATGGCCCTTTCAGAGCAGTAGATAAATAAGAGGGCAAAGAAAAGAAAATGGAGAGAGGGTGAGGTGAAGAGTTAGGGTCTTCCTTTATGGTAAGGAAATTTGTAATTAGGCTGAGCTTCTACCTGCTACTTCCCTGAAATGTGTTTTCACATTAAAGGAAACTGTCCTGACCTTGAAGCCCTGCAGTGAGTGTTATCTGCATGTTATTTAAAGCACACCACACTTCAGCCCCTAGATTTCAGTGTTGTTACTTAATTAAATCTGATCCAACCAAATATTCAGTACAGGAAGTGTCTAGCTGCAGTGGGTCTAGTGCTAGCTAAGCGCCGGTGCATTTACTTTAGAATATTTACTTATTTTCTTGCTGTGAGATAAGCACTTGGAGAAGGAGGGCAAAACAGGCACAATCTTTAAGGAGTATAAGGAAAAACTTTATTAACAGAATTGAAAGAAAAAAATAAGAAAAATCAGAATAAAACCTTCAGAAAACTTTTCCTCTTCCCCCACCTTCTTTTCTTTCCCACTGAAAACGTAAGAAGACAAAAATCGGGACT